AAGACCCTCACGATACCTTCTCGCAGAAGAACCAGTTCCATCTCAATTTGTATCTCCTTTCTCAAATCAACTTGCATTATCATCGAAGACAACCATATTGATCAAAGACGTCCAGCCGATTTCCCTGACGGAGCGTCCCTACGCGGGCTCTTACTGGAATAGCTCATAGCAGAAATCAGTTTTATCGTCTTTCGACATCTGGACTATCCATTCAACTTTTCGACCTTTTGTACATTCCTCAATCGCGTAACCTTTCGGCTTCACAATATTGGCCCGAGACAAAATTTCTATTCAGAAGAACAAATCAAAGCCGCAAAGCTTTTGAACCGGCAGTATTCTTAGGGTTAAGTTCTGAGTCGTATAATTCCTTTCGGAATATCGAGTCAGAGTCTGTAGGGCAGACGATATACTTGGTTTGTAAGGTGAGAGAGGGGTTTCGAATTCGTCGCATTCAATCGAGGTTTTTGGTGTCGTAAAGGTAAGCGCGTTGCGATATGATATTCAAATCGAGGTTGAAGCTCTTCGAGTGACAATTCAATGGGAGGAGGTAGGTGATGAGTACTGGAGGATTTTTGTGAGCAAAGAATTGCAAATGACAATATAAGAGGTGATGATGTTTTTCTTTGGGTCATGACGATTGGAAGGGGAAGATGTATGTGCACGCGGTCGCGTAAGGCTGGATTTCGACGCGACACGCTAATTGATAGCCTAACTCAAGACTTTAACTGTTAAGCTTCAAGCTTCATCCACTTAGCCTTAGCTCTTAGGCCTGAACATTACCAGCTAATAGGTACCTAGGTAAGCATTTGAGAGGTTATGGTTATTGAGTACGTGATTTATAAATTCCTTTCCTTGCATTGAAACCTTACATTCCATTCATACTAGAATAACAATCATTTCATACCTTCTTTTCGCACTTGTTTTTTGTTATCATCTTATACTCACACAAAAGCTTGGAGTGAGCGAGGAAAACACGAGATGTAGGTTGAAAGTTTTCAGCTCAATCTTATAGGCTCCGCAGTCAATTCGAACGAGGAAAGATATCTACAGTAATGTATGTAAATATGGTAGCCCGGTGGTCAAATCTTACTTAGTCTTATTAGAGTGCGAAGCTCAGGCTCTTTTGAAGGAATTTGGGTGACGACGCAGCTTATTGAAAATGGCGTTCAGGAATAGCTCCATAACCTTATATCTTTATGTGGAAATTTCCATTCTCAAAGGGGCTATATAGGACGTACTAGGTAGACTCTTAAGGGTATACTCTTAGGGGTATACTCTTTGTGCATATACAGGAACTTTTGAGATTTCCCGTTCTCGTTCGAAGGGTACAAGAAAGTCATGGTCTTCTGTACCGGTGTTATATGAGATACTCGTACTCGATTAAAAGAAACATGATCTAGAATACGAAGATATTAGGGCAAGCCCCCGTGCCCCCATAGCCATCTGGGTCTTTCTGGTGTTCCCACACAGTCAAGTCAGCACATACCACACAATATATAGTGGATAGCCCCCAAACTTTATCACGACTACGCCACACGAGTGATTACCGATGTCCCTGGATACGCATACAGTTCTATTGTACGTCACCCACTCGCAACATTTGCTTCACATTACTTCAGAAACCCCAACGTTCTCTCCAGCTTGAACATCACAACTTTGAACGATTTTCAGATTATACTTCGTAGTTCAAACGGCATGATTCGTAAGATTGAAGAATCAGCCCCAATCGGGGCTGTTTGGAGATCTAGGCCGTGTATCACGACTTCCCGAGAAAGGAGGAACATCTTGAAACCGCCACGTTTTCAGGGTTTGTCCAATCCTATGAAGCATCCCATTGTGACATCCCAAAGTAAACCTAATCCGAACGATCCAATCCAGGACCTCACTATTAGTTTTCCATCTGAAGTGGAGCCTTGAAAATGTTAAAATGTCCCTAGAATAGCTTGCTGCTGGCCGTGCGTCTGTTACAACTTCGTCGAATATCCTTGTTCGAGCGTTGATAGAGCGTTCCAAGACAGGCTCGTCTGAAAATCTTCATCAATGGCATACACGCGTTCTTCTTAATTTGCTGACTTTTTAGATCAAGTTAGGTTATGATGACATGACGTGAAGATAAGGAGGAAGCTGATTGTAGGTTATCTCGAGGTGTCTTGTTCTTTTTTATTGCTGAATGTGATTTTCTACACAATTCTCCTCCACACTCCTTTGAATAATTGCTTCATTTGTTATCTCTTACCATTCTTTTTTCTCATTCCTTTGACTTGATATTCTTAGAAACCTCCTATCCTTACCTCTTTACCATTTGATATGCAAGTCTTTTCTTTCTTTACAATATCTTCATAATACCACTTTTTTCATATCATCATCATCTGCCTCTCATACCATATACCCGTTAGCCACCGCCATGTTATTTAATCCACCCCGAAACTCACCTCGTATTCTCTCTCTGGCTCTACTCTCCACCTTATGCCTCTGTTTCCTATTCCAATGGCGTCGCGAACTCTCCTCTCCCAAAACATCCTGGAAACTTCTCCCGACGCCCCTATCCCCCGAAATCTCAGTCAAAGATCCAAAACCCCGCTTTGAATCTTTCCTCTACAGACTTCTAGAACAAAAACCCTCAAATTCATCTCTTGAACTCCCAGACGGATACGTGCTAGTCCGCATCGAGGAGATCAATGAAGAATCAGAACGGATAGACCATCTCACCCTAAGCCAAGAAGATCTTGATATCTCCACAAAAGCCCACTCCAACGTCGTAGAACTCCTCCCAGAATACTCCGATCTAATCACCTACGCCCCCAAAACCAACGGACTCATAACCGTCGGCGGCGGTTCCTACACCCCCGCCCTCCTGGTCTCCATCCGCATGCTGCGAAAAACAAACTGCACCCTCCCAATCGAAGTATTCATCCCGACTCATGAAGACTATGACCCCTATTCCTGCAGCGTTCTTGCCTCCCTAAACGCAAAATGTATTTTCCTCCCCTCCTTCCAGAACGCCACCATCGAACGCTACCAATACAAATCCCTCGCCTTCCTCTTCTCCACCTTCGAATCCGTCCTCTTCCTCGACGCCGACAATTTTCCCCTCGTTGATCCCACTCCTTGGTTTTCTGCTCCCGTCTTCCAGGAAAAAGGAATGATCACCTGGCCGGATTTCTGGGCCAACACCGCTTCTCCCCTTTTCTATACCCTGGCAAATCAATCTATCCCGGCTATTCAATCCCAGCACGCATCTTCCGAAGCGGGCTCAATCCTCATTTCCCGCAATCTCCACAGCCAAACATTACTCCTAGCCTTCTATTACAATCTCTTTGGACCAGGTTTCTACTACGAAATGTTAGCCCAAAAAGGAATAGGCGGAGAAGGAGACAAAGAAACCTGGGTAGCAGCCGCGAACGTATTGAAAAAAGACTACTGGCAAGTCCGAGAAAGAAACCATGCTCTCGTGAGCGTAGAACAAGTAGAAAAAGAAGAGGAAGACGAAGAAGGGAATTGGCAAAAAACAGGAGAATGGGTGCGAGTTGGAGAAGAGAATTTGGACGAGGTGGTTGCGATGGTGCAATTTGATTTCATCGCGGATCATGAAGCTCTGTTTCCTCCACCTCCATCCTCCTCTTCTTCATCTGGTTGGAAACTCGATCTGAAAAGTAAAAAAGATTCGAAGGTTCCTGAGACGGAGATCAAAGATGTGGAAATCCCCACGTTGAGAAATAATCCAGATGCAAAAATTGTTTTCCTCCATGCAAATCGTATAAAGTTGCATCCGGCAGAAGTTCTCGAGCGATTGGATGATTTTCATGGGAGAGGAAGAATGTGGGGGGCGAAGGAAAAAACGGTTCAGCGTTTTGGGAGAGATTTGGAAGCGGAGATTTGGGAAGAGGTGATTGAGGTGGCGTGTAGGTTTGGAGATACTTTGTTGTTGGACGGGGGAGAGGGAGAGGGAGAGGAGGAAAAGCAGGTTTCAAAGGAGAAGGTGTGTGAGGATTTGAGACGGTTTTGGTGGGGGATTGTTGCGGCGGAAGAGGTGGAGGAGAGAGTGAGGAGTGCGGGAGAAAAGGATAGAAGGGAGATGGTGAGGGGAAAGGGGGGAGAAGGAGAGGAGTGGGAACCGAGGGTGGGTCATGAGGATGGGGTTAAGAGGGCTGGGTAAATTACGTATATGAAGGGGTCAACAAAATAGGGTTCCTTTCACAGCATTTGGAGTTAAAGGGACAAGGCGTTAAGGAAAGCACAAAGTACAGCATAGAACCAGTGATACCTTTGTTTTTTACAATAAATTTTTTTACTATGAGGGTTGCATTTCTGCATTTTGATACAAAAAAGACCAAAGAAAATAAGTAATTATCAACCATCAACTAATCTGACCACCCAACTGTAACTATTGTACAAAAGCTGTTATTGTCCTGACATCAACTTATAGGAATGATGTGCTCTTCGGGCATCTGACCAGACGAGAACCTAAAAACAACTATAAAAAAATGTCTTCCCAGATGACAAATCTTGGTGCTCCAGGACGGAAATATGATGTGTCCCAGGAAGAATGCATGCAGCATCTAGAATAAAAAGACTCCTCGGAAATGAAGAGATGAACAAATGGCGTTGAAGAAAGGATTTCCCAGCAGAAGAGAAAGTTCTGCAAAGGAAAAAGACTCCCCCCGCAAAAAGAGCAACTCCCCCGTAAGAAGTAGAAACGCCTCCCAAAGAAGGTATCTCTAGAACAAAAAGAGGGATTCCCGAGAAAACTCGAAGCACCCCCAGGAAAAGGATACCAGTGTACAAAGATCTGTTGTCTGAGAATACAATGAGACATCGTGGAATGAGGAAGTCGAGAAAGCGTGAACGGTGAAATCGAAGAATAGAAGAATCGTGAAACTGTATGTTTACTACACCATCGCCGGTTTTCGAAATACAATTTTGTGTGCTGTGTGAGAGAACCTATGCGTATGGTGCATACGAATCGCCCAAGATGTACAGACCGTCGAATCCGAGGAGGATTAAGCAAGTGCAGAAGAGCCGGAGCTGAGACCCACACCTAGCTTAGCTCGTTTTGCAGGGGGCTGGTCCTCAATCTCTTCTTCGCCATCATCATCATCATCGTCAACAGCAGCAGCAGCATTGCCATCATTATCGCCGACAGGATTCTTGTTATCCTATTAATAAGATTAGTCTCAAACAAAATAGATAGTCACGAAGAATGAATCCGCAGACTTTAAGCAAAAGGAATGGAGAAGGAAGAAATTTTTTGACATACACTCGACAACGACATCAGCATAGTGATGAACGCATCAACATTCATAGTGTTAGGACGGAGTTCCTTGAGCTCTTTCTCTTGCTTAGCGAGAGGATTCTCGCCCAAAACAACATCTGTGGTCGCCTTGGTAATGGCTCTTGATGTTTTGGCACCATACAGCCTTGACAGCTTTTCGATGTTTATGCGGCCGATAGTAGGGAGAGTTCCAGAAACGACAAATGTTTTGCCCGCCAAAAATGTGCCTGTGTTGTTAAGAAGAGTCTTAACGTGTTCGGGAAGTTCGGTTTCGACTTTCTTCTGACTCTTCGTGGCGACTTTTCTGGCTACTGGCTTGTTCTTACTGGGTTTTACTTGGCCTTCCTGATCGTCATCGTCATCACTGTCAGCGATTACGACTGCCTTTGAAGCTGCTCTTGATCTGATGGGGCGTGACTTTGTAATCTTGGGAACATCATCATCCTCATCTTCGTCATCTTGAGCCTGGGTTTTATTGGCTACTGCTCTCTGCTTTGCAGCTGGCTTCTTAACCGCGGCGACTGGAGACTTTCCTTCATTTGATGGATTCTTAGGAACTTTAAATTCATCATTATCTTCATCGTCGTTATCGGCGTCAGAGTCAATTTCAACAAACTTAACCGCCTTGGTTTTCTTAGCTCTAGGCTTGAGCATCTTTCTAGGAGCCTCAACGGGCCCCTGGATAGCTTCATCATTGTTAGCAAGCTCTAGACCAACCTCAGGAGTGTCAGCAGCCTTTGCCTTTTTCGCTCTTGACTTTGTTACCTTAACAGGAGCTTGAGCTGGAGCCTGGACGGTCTCATCATCACCAATGGCTTCGGAATCAACCTCAACAGCCTTGGCCGTCGCCTTTCCCTTCTTTGCTCTAGGTTTTACTGCCTTTTTGGGAACTTCAACGGCCCCCGCAACGACAACAACATCATTTTCAATGGCTTCAGAATCAACTTCACCAGCCTTGGCCGCGCTTCCATCCTTTTTTTTTGGCTTTACTCCTTTGGCAGAAGCCTCAGCTGGGGCATTTGCATCTTCAACCTCCTCGATGTCTGAGACAATTTCTTCTATTTTTGGCAATGCCTTTCTTCTCGGCTTTCTCTTCTTCTTGATATGGTTCAGATTAAGAAATGTCTCGTCTTCCCTATCAGCCCAGTCCGCGGGAGCAGCCTCAACCGCCTTTGGTCCAGGCTCAGGTAAATCATTCAAGGGGTTCTTTTCGAGAATTCGCCTAGCTTTTTGCAAACTCGAGGCTCTCGTGTCTTCAAGTGTGGAGATGTTTCCACCGCGGACAGCGAGACACTTAATTTGGAGATAACCGTGATGACACAACTTAAGCTCTGCCAATCGCAACTGTGCTAAGTCTAGAGTGGCATAAGCAAGTGGATCGACACAATCCGGTAAATCATTGAGAATAATCCAACACAGAGAAGTCTCTTTTGCGGACCCAGCCCAAGGTTTACCAAGCTTCTTTATGTCATCGAGCGATAGCTTGATGACATCATCCGTTTGCAATTTCTGATGCTTCATGGATACGTTGAATTGTTGGAACTCATCTTGTAGAGTGAAGTCATCGTTTACGCGATTTGGGCTCCGTTGTTGCCATGCATCGAAAAATTGATCATCCACCGATCCGTCCGATTCTTGACCTGTGCCTTGCATCACAAATCCTGTTGGGGTTGTTGGTCTCTCGCTTTGTTGCATTGATGATTCGCCGTGCTGATCAACCGGATTTTGTTCTGCGGATTCACCGGTGTGTCCAGCCATGTGGTCCTGCTTCGACGCCTCGGCAAGAGCTGCTTGTTCCTCACTCAACTGTTCCGACATTCCAAAATGAACAGCTTGATGAGCTAGCCAGTAATCACTATGTTCTCTTCGATCCGCGTTATTGAAGATTCGGCCGACGTCACTGCCTTCCTCTTCATCCTGCTTTGCTTTCGCGTCTCGATCAATTTGAACGCTCTCCTCCACTTCTTGTTTTCGCTGTCTTTCTTGTCTTGCTTCTTCCTGTAGTAATTCTTCTTTGTCTGCCTTTTTCTTCTGCGCTGCTGTCATCTTTGTCTTTGGTGCTGGCATCCCTACTGGACCCTTTGCTGGATTCGTCATCTTGTCGGGAACGTGATGCGACAATGGTGAGATTTTTGGAATGAATGTGGCAAGCGGTGTATCAAACAAAAGAAACCAAAATCTGTGATCTCGTAGAAATCAAATAGAGGATTTGTGTATGTAATCAAATAAATGAGCGAAATTTCAGACCTCTTGTTATCAAAATAGAGAAGCAAATATCAAGAAACCAATAACCGCAGCTGGGAAGGAATTTAATAAAGAGCGTAAAAGATTAAATGGCAAGAACCCAAGAATCTTCGTATCCTAGAATTGTAATACAGAAAATGATGAAAGAACGTCTAGAAAGTTTTTTGACTCGTTGTCTTGATTGTTTGTTGATGGTGGAGGTTGGAGGTCGGGGATTGAGAGTCGTTGTAGTGGGAATATCTTGATTTGAAATTGCAAGCGGCACAATGTCCATATCTTGGTGAGCGTTTGCCCTAACCGCTTAATTGAGCGATCTAATGGCATTATTGCGAACTCGGGAGAAAGATGCTCCAATATTTACTACTCATTTTCAAAATGTATTCACTGTTGAAGCTTTGTGTGTGAATGGATATTGTAGTCTGTGTCGTCTGAAGTATCGTGGCCGGGAATGGGGAGATGATTTACCGAGGTTCTCATACCGAGTCTAAGATGACCTCAACTTATTGACTGCTCAGATTGACAATAAGTACTTCAGGTATTTCTTACGATCACCTGAGAGGTTTCAATGATCTCACATGATAGTGTTGATTAATTAGAGTTTGCTTATTTCGAACACCTATACTAACCAGATGTGAAACAGGCTCGGGCTAGAGATTGAATGCTACAGATGAATGGGAAAGGCGTGGTGATTCGACTACTAGATTGCTTGAACTCAGAGAACCAGTGACCCCATGTTTCTTCCCCGTCAAAAGAACAATTGCTTCATCGACCTAGGAGCCTCGTTATAAGAGCTGACTATTAGGAGCTGGCAGTGGCCTACTTCACACGCTACACGAGCATCATCTAGACTTAAGTTTCAGATTTGTAGTGTGGATATGAACCATCCTCTTAGCTTTATCTAGCTTCCAAAGCTATCCTTCCAATTCAATCCTCATATCCATAGTTGAAGCGAGTGTCATTATTTTGACCTCCGACGCATCAATCTTCACCGTGGATGAACTTTTGAGAGCAAAGAAAAAGGGCAAAGAAACAAGGGAAAGCATTACCGATAGACTTGGCAGAGCTATTATAGGAACAGCTGTCAGGAACCAATAATCTCCTGTATTTATTTCCGTTGTGCGGTCACATCTCCTACCTCGTCAGCTATGGATTCCCAATATTTACCTCTTTAGGTTCAGACCCGGAAGTAAAGCTACAGAACAAAATTGAGGTGAAAACTCTCACATCTAAGACAGGTAAAGAATTCGAGAAAGTCCACTTAGATTACAGGCAATGTGAAGTTACTCACATGCGTAATAAAGATGCTGAGACTGAGAGTCTTAGACGTGGAAAGGATTGCAAGAGAGATGAGTCGGTTCCCACGCCTGTTCAACCTTCAAAGATTTGGCAGCGAGAAGACATATCTCATGAAAACTATGAGAGCCTGAGATAGAAATTCTAGTGAAGCAAAAGCAGAAGAAGGAGGAATCTGAAGATGCGGAAACTTTTGTAAAGGCGAAACATAGATCTAACCTTCCTGCTTAGCTCTGGGAAACTAGTCTTGAGCCTTTTACTAATATATCACAATGATTAAACTCAGAAGTGACATGGTGTATTTTTAAATGAAGATTCGCATGGCCTATATGTACGTTTGCAAGTGTTTTCGACATTTATTGAACTAAATGGTTAATTTAGCACATAGCAACGTACGACACAAATACCATGACTCATTCATTCATGGGTTATGCATCGGACAGTACTGTCCATTGCCAACAGAGTCTGTACCGGATGACGATGACTACCTGAGCTGGTATTCGGAGGACTATCTTCTAGCTTTTGTACGGAGGGTCACACAGAGAAATCTATAGCGTACGAAATACTGGCTATTTACCAAAGGCAGTAGACCGCATGGCAATGAGGGCACGGGAGAAGGCAAGTCGGAATTGGCATTTCAGATACATGGAATGCATCCAAATGGGCAATCAGGGTTGGCTTGAGTGATCATGAGAGATGCTAGATTACGATGTACCAAGATGATCTATCTTCAATGCCCCTATTACAGTTCAAGTCAAAACTATGTTTTTGACGCATAAAACTCTGTGTACTATTTAGAAAGACTTTTTCTCCAGGAATAGCATATAAATGAGTGATTTCACAGCGCAAGAAGAAATAATCTCTCTATATTTCTTCCAAGACTCAATCTGGCATTCATTATATTGAAGATTTCTGATAAGAGCGAAGATCGAACAACAATCTTCAAATCTCCATCGTTGAACTAATGAAGAATTTGAGGCTATTGATTCATCTGATTGGTACTTTCTATTTGGATGCTGGAGAGTGAATTTACAATTTTTGGGACGGACTTGATTCTGGAAATTTATTTGTGTGAATCTGATATTGTTTATCCAGTCCGTCACTTTAATTTCCAGATTTTTTCTATTCACTAACAACATCACAAGCTGATACAGCGGCATCTCGAATTCCATATATTAGATAGTGATTACAACTACAATAATAATTCTTCATGCGGAGTCATCTAGGATTTCATCATAATCTGCTCATCTCCCTCTCAGCGAGATGTTCACGAAGAATGCAGCTCTCGCAGAATCTCTCGGAAATCACATACGCAATGAATTTTCAACACTGCTTAGAGTTACCCTTTACACATTCGCAAGAGACGGGCAAATGTCCTACATACATTGGAGAGTACGATCTCGTTCATAGATGCCATTATATACAGAGCACTGCCATTGAGTCCAACTCATGGAGGCACAATGATCTCTACAATGAATAGATTGCAAAAGACGAGACAAAATTCATCTCGCGCTAGACTTCGACGTTGTCAGAGGGGTATCCACAAAATCGTAGTCTGGGCAGACATGGCACCCATGAGATTCAAATCCACACCAACTTTGATACTCTGACAGAGGCAGTGTTTCCTCTCGGAGTAATCTCATGTCCAATAGCGTTGTAAGATTCCTAGATAGGCAGCTGAGATGTGAGGGATTTTAAAACAGCTCTTTGAAAATGAATTGAGGTACAGCAACGCTGAAATAGCCTTTATTTGCTTGTTGTTCGGCCTTGAATGACGATTGGGACACTTTTTCCCAGTGACATGCCAAAGTCCCCAATCTATGCCTCGCAGGACCCAAGACGAAAAGGTCTTGCAGTCGCTTGAATCACTCTTTGGCCTCACTGTTTGGTCGTGAAACTCCTTTCACGCATAAGTTCAAAGATTCTCTTCATTGTCCACAATAAACTCGCACGGTGAAAGGTTTCTGAGAGAATTTTGATAGATATTATTCTAGCAGGCAATATCAATACCCATGATGATTCATATGGTGGCCAATTTACACCTACTCCATACCTCCATTCCGTACATGAAGTCTATTTTCCCTTGAAATTGCTTCGCACCAGAGCAATAGTACGCTGTATCTCTCAACGCCAGAAACCCCCCAGTTTTTCCCTTACACATCTCTAGTATTAGAACCACTTGCACCCTTTGATTCCACCTCCTCAGCCTTAGCATCTAAACTGTTAAGCTCATCCTCCTGCTCATCAAGCTTATGATAACAAATCCAAAACACAATACCCGCTCCAAAACTTCCACAAGCCAGTCCCACAAACATCCACAAAATCGTTGGGTTACCGACCAATGGAATGAAAGCCTGACAAATCGCGAACCCAAAAGCATTAGTCAACAAGAACATAGCTTGAACAAAAGATTTCATCGAAGCAGGTGCTTTAGTGTATGCGTATTCCAGACCTGTAACCGAAGCAAAGATTTCAGATATACCAATTAATACGTAAGCCGGGATTTGAATTGCGAAATGCACTTCGTTAGGTTGGATTGTTCCGTCTGGGAGAACAGCAGCGGGACATTCGAGAGGTTTGCCGTAACATGGACCAGCTTTGTAGATGAGGTGCTGCACGATGGCCGCATACATCATACTGAAACTAGCGACGATGAAACCGAATGTGATACGAGACATGGGCCGAAATTTAATGTGCCACTTGCGCAAGAGTGGGTAAACTAGACGATCCATCACTGGTACGAGGAGAATGATGGCAATGGGATCGAAGTTCTGGGAGAGATCGTTGGGCACGCCGTGGGTATTCATTTCTCCGGCTTGAGAAACAAAGTTGCTGGAGAATTGAGCGTAGACAACCCAGTAAATAGGGTAGAAGACGAAGACGCGGCAGGCTATTAATGCGCGCTTGACTTCATCGACGAATTGTTCATTCCACGGAGTAGTTTGCGGGAGATTGTTTGCTGCTCGGTAAGAAGGCTTTGCAGCGTTTAGATTTCGGTATTTGATCATTTGCCCGATGATCTTGAACGCATCGGTGATGACTGTTCCCTTGGGTGGGCGGACAATATATCGCTTTCTTCCCACAAGCAATGTGACGAAACCAACCATGAAGACACATAAACACATCAGGTACGCAGACCAAAACCCGACATCTCGTTCCATGTAAGGTGTTGCGAGAAGTGAAAGAGATCCAATATTGATACACCAATAAAAGATCAAATAGATTCGCTGAATGGTAACGGTAGGATCAATAATGACACGCTCACCAGTTTCAAGAACTTTTATTGCCATACGTTTTCGGGTGTATTGATCGGCAATTAGAGGACTGACGTTAGATTTGATACCTCCGGTTCCAATACCAATGATAAGAATGGCTGCGATGTATCCTCCCAATCCAGCTCCGTTTTCAAGAGAAACTGGTAGAGATGTCAAGACAAGAACTAGCAGGCCAACCATATAGACGACTGCAAAATAGCAAATGGCTTTGAATCGACCGAGGTACTGATCGGCAACGATGGCACCAAAGATTGGAGTGACTAGTAAGAATATGAGCAATTATACAGTAACAGTGAAGATTAGCATAACTTACAGTAACACCACATGGAAAAGAAGACAGTAAGAGCTGTCGCAGTTTGATGTCCGAGACCTATAAAGTTAACAAATGGTCACAGGTCTAAGATATTGAATTCCTACCGAGAGCGCCACGACCCAAGGAACCATCCAGTGGACGTTGAACATAATTTTGAAATAGTCCCACACAACCATAGTATGAGAACCTCTCACACAGTTCTACGATAGCGACAAGCCAAGCGGACATGGGCAAACTGTCACCAACTAAAACATTGTCAGCTATTCAGTGTCCTAAGATGTGATGCGGTTATTATCCCACTTCGTCGCAGCGTCTGTTTCTCCTCATCAGTGGGCTCTTCTTCATCGGCATCGTTCCCTTTTTCGAAACTATTTACTCTCGAATCTGCGGTTGGAGATATTCCCTCTTTGGCACTCTCCGGACGAGCTGGATTCGCAGCAATCGTATCGTCGCTCATTTTTGAACCAGTCACACCCTGACTCTGCTTCTCCATTCTAGGAGGTAATTTAGCATTCAATCGCTAATACTTTAGTAAATGTGTTCTTACTGATTAGCCGACATTTGGGATCGTTTTTCGTGAATTGAGATCAAAGCATGAGTGCTGGGAACCAACGAGTTAAGTAGATTACTGACTAGTTTGTTGTTGATGTCATTGAGTCAGAACACATGCATTAGCCGTAAATGTTGAAGGAAAAAATAACCTTATAATTAGCATGCACGTTAGAGCTAAGCTTATGACATATGCAATCAGTATAAAAGTGAGGCCTGAAAGCTAGGACCGCTGTCAACACTTGTTTGAGATATAATATACGAAGCCATCAATTGCACTACCGGAACTAGTAACATATGACGGTTAATGAGAATGCAAACTATACAACAATAGCCCAGTCTCAAGTTGTCTCCTAATTTATTGGTAGCTTCGAAGACAGGAAACTCCAATGAGACAATTTTCAGCTCATTCACTAAGAATGGGAGGTAAACTCTGAGTATACCAAATAGCGAAGAAAGGATCTCGTTCCAGAAATTCGATGTGGGAATAAACGTCGGAGCAAAATAAAATACAAAAAGAGAGAGTAATAGCCTCTGGACTAGCCAAGCTTCGCTGAAACTCAATTACGTTTTACCGGATACGAAGATTATACCGATACGTCCGCCCTTATTCCCCATCGTTTCATTCCTGAATATCCCTAAGCATATCATCGTGTAAGTTCTAATCACACGTCGCTTTCATCCTAGCATGCTTAGCATGAAGACCAATCTGTACCCCGCCAGCACTAGCTATAACTTAATTATTTTTTTCGCTGAGTGACTTTACCAAGGCAATAGTCATTATTGATTGAAGGATACGGGCCATTAGAAAGGCAAGATCTTTATCTATACACTGTAGGTCCGGTGGGTTAATAGGCTCGACGGGTTGTAAAGATGTGCGCCATGATGAACACCGTTGTTTAGTCTTCGGGCTAGTTCGGGGATATAGTTGATACGAAGAGTGCAAATAATGAATAGGATGTGCGATCTGCAATTCCAAGCCCAAAAACTTCATAAGTGAGGGACTGAGTGTTGAGTAGTGCAGATAAGGTTTTGATGCCAAGAGTGACGATCATGGCAGAATTTGATTTGGGCAGCGGTGTAATCTGATGAAACTTTTCATTACAACCAATAATTCCAGGAGATTTTCATAGAAGTAAAACATCGTTCATAACCTGATGAACCATACATAGAATGAACAGACAACCCATCTCGTCGATGAATATGAACAATAAATTATTGAGCATTCTTGAAATGCTCAGATTCCCATTTCAAAATGTTCTAGTAATAATAACAGGTATCTGCGAAAACCATCCGAGACCAATCCGAAACATTTTGGCAGCTTTTACAGATGAAGGGAACCAAGGAAACCGACAGTCGGCGAAGGGACAGCAGCCCTTCTATGATGCTGAAACCAGAATAATATCGAAGCTCTGGAATCGGATCCCTGTACTCATGGTGGTGTAGGCGTATGTTGCTGGCATCTAATGTTAAGAGTTTGGGTTGATAGAAACAGCAGAAGCAAGTGTTGAGTGCTTGCCTTCATAGTTGTGTGTACAAGCGTACGCAACAGCATAAACTTAATCTCGCCTCGTACAATCAGTTTAACACTGGCAGCCAGAGTGTCCCCAAAAGACCGCGGTTATAAGAATTGGCGCAGGCCGCTTTCCACTGGGCATAAAATCGAATAACTGCTTTGGGTCTTCCAGAGTCAACAAAGTCAACCTTCAACGATCGTTGTTTTTGCTCAGGATCAAATACCACTCATAGAACTGTTGGCGAGATAGGCCAAGTCTATGTCTGATAGTTGACGAAGCCCACAAGAAGATATGATTTTCTGCATGGGTACGACAGGATGGATATCCTCGCAAGTTTTCACAAAGAGTTTTTAGCGACCTGATGTGATCGCGAAGGGGAGAAGTAAGATCTAGTCGAGATGCTCATTTTGCTTCTTCCGATTCTTCGTCCTCTTGGAGAACATTTGAGAAATCTTTTCAGGAAATGCGGGACGCGGGCACTTGGTCAGAATAATCTAAAAGCTTTCCAATATCACCTCCACCACAGTGAGCTTTTCTGTTCCTTTCTTTTGACGAGTACTTTTTATGGTGCAGATGAAAGAGAAAACAACAATAGCCGGTCATCAAGTTAAGTATAAAAAGAAACAAGGGAACTTTGAGATCAATTCAAAGTCGTACTTAAATAATGAAAGTGGGTGATGAAACGAGAGAAGAATTGAAGGCGAGACTGACCGATCGTACCTACCACATCAAGTGAACGAAATTAACAATGTTGCAACAAAAATCGTTTTGCAATAGACACAATCCCAACTCAGCAAACATCATTCTTAGGATCATATCACCTCCCAAAAATGGTATACCGTTCACGGATTCCCGAGATTATTAATCTCCTGCACCAGAATGGCCGGGAAGATCTGGAGATGCGGATTCAAGGAGATCTCCTAATATACGGACCAGAATTGCGTGCCGGGTTTCGTAATTTATTGAATCTTGATCAGCAAAACGAATTGTTAGAGCGCTTTGTTTTCTCCCGAACCTGTAAGTCAATTATCCTTTTTTGCGACAACTACATGATTGGATCTTACTTTTCTCTTAGTCCCTCATGGTTCTTGTTTCCCTGGGGACATGGCAATAGACGACTTGCCTATGCTTCAAGACCCTGCCGATGAGGGTCATCTACCGCGCTCACTCGATGACGACTTTATTTTATTTGGAATCCCTCATCTTCCGCTGTTTGCGACCGCTTTTCGTGAGATGCAAACCAGAGAAAGGCGGTTACATCAAAGTGCCATGCAAGTTGTGCAAACAACTTCTCAGCCACATCTTTCCGACAATCGTCTTAGAGCAGATGATCGGAGTCTTGAAGCTGCTAGTTTGAGACCTGCGGTCTTACCTCCAAAAACCGACGATAGTCGAGATAATGATAGTCCCCCCGCCAAAATACTGAAAGAAAAATCTGAACCGGAAGATGATGACATTTGTCCCATTTGTCAGGAAGGATATTCTGATGCCCAGCCTTCAGCCTCACTCATTCCAAACTGTGGACATTTGTTCCATATGGGTTGTATGGTGCGGTGGATTAACTCCGAGTCTATTAATGGCCAATCGAGAGACAGGTGCATCTGCTGTCGTAGAGAGTACGATGGCCTTTTTTCTCAATTTCATGGCGAGGTATTTCCACCTCGATTTGGTGAAGATTTCTGGCGCAATCATAATGGACCGTTGATAAATGAAGTCTTTGGGGGACTAGAAATTCTGTCGCCTGATTACTCATCTGACGAAGATGGATTATTAGAACCACTAATCGACGAGGATGATTGGTAAGACACCACGGATGCTGTATTAGGTAGCTAGAGTATTCCACATGGGCGAATACACACCTATTGAGACTAATGGTGGGACAGCTGGCTATTTCGAGGTTCCTCCGGACAAGGGGCTCGTAAAGATGAAGCTGAGTTGCAGGACTAGCAGGAGAAGAAGTCAATTTCCAACTATCTACAGCTATTGATACCTGTAAAGTTGTAACGAGCAAATATGAAGTTCAGACTTGGTGTGCGTGATCCTATCCAGATGAGGGGAATCGGTACGAAATCAGCGACTATCAAACATTGTATCTTGATAACATTGGATCACCAGTGCATAGCGAAATTAAGTCATTTTTTATAACTTTCAAATCTTGTCTTCTCCTTGATATTATCGCGAAGATTTTCCCAATACTTGCCAGTTGCCGAACGTCACAATTATATGTACAGAGAAGTGTTCTTACACCCAAGGTTTTGTATTTCGATTGCGACTAGTATACACTCTCCGTGTACGACCAGTGCTGGCAACAACCGGAAGCCAACCAGTCTGCCCAGCAGAAATTTATGAGCTTCACTATTAAAGCAAGGAATTTTGTCGTAGCATTCCCAACAGTAGTCTTGAAGATCGAGGTACCGTCATCTAGGACAAAGGGGGCATATCTTTCAGGCATATTTGTCATATTGTCATCTTCAATGGGGCCATCGTTGTGTCGATTGCTATGGCTTTTTATGTAGTTTGAGCATGCCCAATTGATTTTTGGGCTTATTTCGGTAAGCAGGACACTTATTTATGTTTACCAGGCGCAATTTATCTTGAAATCGCTACCAAGCACCAACTAGTTGTGAATCTTACTATGGCATGACGGAAAATTGATTGCCATATCGTTATTTGTCTCATGTGTGTCATATTTGCGGCTTTGGTAGTTCATCATACAGCGGTGACTAATCTAAGAATCAATTATAAACAGTTTCTCAAGAAGGATGCAACTTTTATATTTTCGGTCTTCGACTCTAACTGAAATTCCTTCATGAAAGAGTGTTCATTAAGACTTTACTCTCGTGTTTATCGTTTTGCTCCACGTTTGGAAGTTGATGCCGGAATCGTTCTCCTAGCTTGCAATGGGTGAGTCAATTTTACCAACTTTATTCTGGTGGGATTGATTAATTTCTGAAGATTACTCTGCGTTATTTGTGACCGATTACTTCTTCATACAGAAGTTAGAGATGGGCTAGGTTGTTTGACAAAAGTTTCCGATACTTTAGCACTGTACTCTCATTTAAAAGATTGCAACATCACTGCGAAGTTTCTTGCTTTTTGTCGGAATTCTGAACTTTCTAGTAACTCGCAACTTTTTGGGGTGTTCTATGACCTAGCGATTTGCTGGATGTCTATCTAGATATAAGAATGATCTTCTCAGTCTGTTCTGGGAGGTGACCTCTATTCATACCACTAACAAGCTTTGCCTCTCTGTCGAGGTCATCTGGGATATCAGAAGCTCTCTGTCAATGATTGAATTCAATGTACAAGTTTATTGCATGAATCTCATATACTGAAGTTTGAATATTGTTGGTGGCTGAACTACCAAGGTTCACTACAATGATTCTCGGAATGAATGGGCATTTAATTCACAGAAATTCACCAAATCCTTCGTGCCCGAGGCTCATTCTTTATAATTTAGATAGCAATTAGTATATAAACTCGGAGTTATTGTAATTCTCTCATTTTAATTGGACAAAAGGAGTTCAACTGAGTATATGCTGTCATGATACACCCGAGCATGTTCGGCCCACAGCTGCTGTATTGGAGATTCAATTGTTTCAACAATCCTGTTTCTTGCTGCAACGAACACAACTTTCAACAAGTTTTCTTTGAATCTCCTTTACTTTCATCACACATTGACGCAAAAAATCAGCTTCAGTCTACAATTAGCCATGAGTAACCAACTCGAGCTCCGAAAAGATATTTACAAGAGAAGATGTGAGAACGGCACGTGGATTTATAGCCTGGTCGACTATCCAAGAAAGCTTACCGTCAATGAACGGTTAAGAATTACCCACCAAGTTCCTGCTATACTTTCAGAATCTAGATATCACACGGCGGAAGAGCTAGATAAAGCTGGCTACCACTTCATGAAGGGTGGCGAGAAGCACCAGTTTGAAGCATTTCATAAAGATAAACCTCCCACCCGCTTTACAAGCCATCTCAGACTTAGCGAGATAGAGCTAGCACGATGTGGCCTTCTGGAGGAACTTGGCAAGCTTCGTGAGATTGCTCTTCATCCAGACTTTCAGACTGGCTTGGCAGCGACAATGCAACGAAAATATAGCTACTACCAAAGGTGGAAGGGTATGCAATATGAAGTTGGAGTTACTAAGCAACCAGGACACGGAGTCAAGAGACTTCAGCTGGCAGAGATTTTGCGTCGAGACTCAGACGATTCGAAGAAGTATTTCTTTCATAGAGCTCGCGATCTAGGCCAGAAGTTGCTTGATATCTGGATCCCTGGGTACGAGAATACCAATTCTTTTCAAGATATTGAATGGCATCGAAATACAGCGATGACCTTCAGCGAAGATCCGAATACAACGCTCAACTCTATTCAGCTCAACTATACAAAGCAAGGAACGGTCATCTCAGATGCTTTGAAGGGGAAGGCGCATCTACATTGCGATAAAGACGATCAACCAACCTCCTATTCCGTCGTGTTCTTCATTTCAAACTTCGACGATTGGTATTGCCCTGGTCATTTTATCAATACTACTTGGAGGACTATATTCCCTGCATCACCTTTCCAGGTGTATATCTTTTCTGGAAGAACATGGCACTGTGGTACTGGCTCAGGATTCTATCCAGAGTGGGTAGGCCCAGGTCACCCACTACGATTACCAACTCCATCGGTCCCGCTGCCTGAATTAAGTCCTCTCGCAGCCGGAAACAAGATGAGATGTAACATGGTAGTATATCCAACTCGCAGACTTCTAGTTCCTAAGTTCAAGGAATTAAACATCGAGATATGGCAACCACAGGGTCTTCACGTCTTCAAAAATATTCGAACGCACCAGGAATGGAAGTTAAGGCTGTTTATTAAGCAAGAGGTATTATTCAAGCTGATCGCATCGCTTGAAACTAAAGTACTTCTACAGAAACACTTCCCTGAATGGATCCGAAACTGGTGGTGGATGATGACTTTTGCTCCAGACATGTTCTGGCACGGTGTCGACGATCTTTCTCATAACGCAGAGGAGAAATCTGTAGCATATTTCAAGCAGTTGGAGGATGAAATCGACAAGAATAATACTGAAGAACCTCTTCCAACAAAAATCGACAAAACAAAGAGAGTCTTGCGCACCGACGAAGAGAGGGCTGCCACAAAAAATTTCAACGCGTACTACGAAGATCGTGCAGGCTGGGAAGATTTGAGAACCACCAATCCTGATTGGTTTATTGGGCTATTCTGGTGGATCGACCCTGACACTGGAGAAAAGACATATCCCTCTCGTGATATGGCCATTAAGACAATCGCATTGGTTACTACTGAGCCGTGCAAACAGCTTACTGACTTGGAGGAAGATATAGCACAGGCATATGATGGGTTTGGCGACTACAAAGGCGACACAGTTTTCACGGAACTAGATTCTCCTCGTGCGTTTGATCCAGCTGTAGATACCGTTCCTGCAAATCCCGGCTGGGTGCCCACCGATGATTGGTGACCTGATTCTTTTGCAGAGAAGACCGGAGAGTGGGCTGTTGAAGTGAATTCGTTCAGTGTAATGATATTGAGGAGGAAATACCAACGGATAAAACTGGTTGTGTGTTCTGGGTTGCTGTCGGGATATCGATCATGTGATCACAACGAGGGCGCTGTATTAGCTAGCGAGGCGCTAGCGCTTTCTTTTACAATTTCCAGCTTCCCATACCTACCTAGACAATAATGATTAAGAAACAATTACAATTATAATAGAATTACAATGCTTGATACTTCTCAATCAAGTTGACACTGACAGTTACAGATTCTACAGATTATTTGGAGTTCTGTTTGAGAAATTGCTTGTAAAATACCCACTATTAATAATTATTTGACTCACTGAACCTTCGGTCTTAGATTTCATGTTTTGCCATTATAGCAGAAGCAATCACCTATCAACTGACATAAGATACTTTTTCAAACGAGCATCTGAATTCCAGAAAAGGTCCTCGATCAGCTAACACAGTAGTCATAAATTACTCATATTTAGTTTCAACTATGCTTAGGTAATTTCAAGAAACTATTACTACTTCTCGACCCAGTATCAAATAGCATGGAGGGATAATGGAAGTCAGATATAATGGGGTGAATCTATGGAAACTTGGATACACATGGTTTAAACATCCTTCTCGCACACTAGTTCGTGAGTAGTTCGAAGCACGCTATCCCGTCTGTGATTCAATTATCTCATATAACAAAGAGGCTACCGTATTCAGATCTTCAAACTCACAATATTCACTTCCATTTTAGTTCGCCAGAAGTTTTTCGGCACATAGATGGTTGGTATATAAGAGCTTCTATTGACCTCGAAGAACCTGAAACTTTTTCATACAGGATATAGCACCATGGACCAATCACGCCCCTTCACTACTAGTTTCCACGACGACGTCAAATATAATGGCTCTGGATACTGGCTCCACACAATTGACGCGAAGTTGAGGTGCACTAAACTAGCAAAATTGTCTTCCACAATCCCTCCAGAACTGGACGTAGGTAGACAACATACCGACGAGGAGCTTAGCGATATTGGCTACATTCGACTAGAGCCAGGTGTTTGCCATTTTGTAGCAGTTCCCAATGCTCCTGATGGCAAGCAATTCGACCCCACATACCTATCTGCAGCCGAGATTGAGAAGGCTGGTCTTCTCGACCGCCTAGTTGAAGTCAGAGAAAAGATGCTGCATCGCGACTTTCAGCCGAAGCTACATGCTACGATGACTAAGGTACGAAGCCATAGATTCATGGAAGATCGTGCAAAGATCTACGAGCTCGGAATCACTGTACAAAAGCGTACAGGACGACACAGCATCCAAAACGGAGTCATAATTCGAAAAGATGTCGACAGAAATAATCGGGATTTGACAGTAGGGCTCACAAGCATCGCCAATGCCTTACTCGAGACCTACGCGCCTGGTATGAAAGATGAATTTCGAGCGAAGCATCGACTACAACGCCCTCCTCTCACGATCGGCGCTGACAAGAATAACACCATCACAAGCATACAGGCAAATTATCTCGAGATAGATGAAGGGATGGATGGACTTCGAAAGTTTGGACACGGCCACGTTGACGAGCGAGATTATGCGAACATGTTTACTGTGCTCTTCTTCCTCGGAAATCCACCTCCTGATTACCACGTGGGAAATTTTTCACTACTAGGAGAGAGAACTGTATGTCCAACTGCACCTTTGTCGGCTCTGGTATTCTCTAGGAAAAGATGGCATGCTGGTATTGCTCCCAGACGCTACGATGCCGATACACCTGTATCACTACGCTATGTATCGCCAGTGCCAATTCCGGAGTTGCCAACAGGAACTCCTCTTGTGCGTTTGTCTGTTGTTGCTTATCCCAGTAGGAAGATGATTGATGTACACCCGCAAGAACTTGGATACGAACTCTTCACGTCTGCTGGCAGCGCCTGTTTTCAAAGCCAGAAAAAGTATCAAGAGTGGAGGATGTCCTATTACATTGCGCATGAGCGGGCCATGGTAGCACTAGAAGCTTTGGAAGATCGTGAAGAATTGAGCGAGAAATCGCGGAAGAGAAAGGGCGATGGAAGGGATCGGTATGTTCAGCTAGATACTACCGGTATCGTCCGACATACACTACCATCGTACTTTGTCGACAAGTTTCAATGGCGCGACGGACTAACCGGTCGAGTGATGTTTCCATCTACGCAACTGGCAATCGACACAATCGCAGAAATCGGACAGCCTAATGAAGAATGGGACAATCTTTCCAAGGATATGGTACGCGTCAGTCTTGGTGGAAAGGCACTTGGAAAGAGGAAGGCCCCAGAAAGGAAGACGCTGGAGGTTGAAACGTTTGAAAGATCCAAGAGACTAAAGTCAAACGAAAGCGCAGATGAAATGAAGAGTGCTGAGCACCAGCTAGAAGAAAGAGTTGGTACATTCGAGGATGAATTCTATCGATGGGAAGATTTCTTGATTGAGCAGGATTATGGTAATGACATGGATCACCGAGAGCCAGCTCAGGAGAGGCTTGGAAGTAGAGACTGGGAATCATTTGGGGCCCCGTGATTGATGGGTTTTTTATATTTTTAAAAAAGCTGCTTCACTAAAAATTGTTTGAATAGAGAATAAAATGTAGAGATTATGCTTAACATAAGCCACGCAGACAACACGATTTGTAGTAATGGAAATTCATCATGTATATAGTGACAAAGCAAGCTACAATAATTGTAAGAGAGCACTCCTCCATACATTTCTTGGAATCACTATTCCTCGACAAAAGCACTCAACTTCTTATCATTATAACAGTCTTCCTCAATCAACTTCTCCCATTTCTACACCACATGAGCTAAGGAATAGCAAGTAAGGATTAGAAGCAACTCACCTCCCCAGTGATCTTCACCACAGTAGGCAATCTATCGATACCCCATGGCTCTTCTCTCCAAAGACTTTTCTTTCCCGGCGACAAATCTCTCCATCTAACAAGGTAGTTCCATTAGCTTCCCATTCTCGCTACTTCATATACACCAATGACCCCAGACTCTCTTCGGGCCAAGCTTCCGGGTAACGGTAACATACTCAGCCTGAGATCCTCCATAGATGAGCTTAACCCTGTTCTCCTTTGCAGCTACATGAAGCTTCTCAGTCAAGGGACCTTCGGCGCTTCGGCAATCTCCACACCAAGATTCGTTTGTCTCAGGCTTGAGGGAGGCGAAAAAGATCACATATTGTGGTTTGTTTGATCCACTGAGATCCTTTTGAAGGACTTCTGGGGAATCAGTGAAGATGGGGAATGAAAGAGGCATTTTGGTGGAGCTGAATCGAGTTCTGTAGATTTGGTGGTATCGTTGGAGATGAGACGGAAAAATAAAAAACAGTGGTGGAGGAAGGTGGGGTAATTAGCCGAGGTAAACCCGATGCTTCGCGGAGGGACTACAGTCAAACCTGGCTATACGGGCACGTGCTATACGGGCATCCCCTTTATACGGGCATTTTTTCCAACTTCCTAAAAATTTATATGGTGAAATTGACTTCAACGGGCATTCCTTTATATCAGAGCATATGATCCTAAATTTCCCAATGCCCTTATAATTGGTGGTATTGGCCCGAGCTTTGTCCTATCACATGATGAATTCATAAATTCACATGACAAATTTAATAAAATTAGAAAGGCTGAAGGCATAAAACGAGGCTAAGTGTATAAAACGAGGCTAAACGATGAGGCTGAAATTTTTTATACGGGCATTTAGGCCTCGAAATTTTTAGGCCCGTATAGCCAGGTCTGACTGTACCATGCATGCAAATGCGGCTGTTCGCACAGTGTGAAATGCAGAGCAGAAGCAGTTCCCGTTGAAACGCGGCAACGCTTAACATTCCGACTCTCGTTTGAAAGGATTCGTGGAGAACAGATATCTTTTGCCTGCAGTTCTTCTCGTCTTCGCCAACCACAATCGATCGTCTCGTCAGTTGGCGCTTACGTCCAGGGCTTGGCTTCTCCTGCTTTACTTGGCCTCCCGCAGGTTTAAGTTGCCTATTTTTGAAAGGGAAGATAGATGTGGGCAACCGCAAAGATCAAAGATGTGTTTTCTCGGCAAAGGAAGGAGTTTCAAGATGATATTTCTTCTTGGGCTCTAGGCTTTGCAATGTTCGATAAAGCTTTTTGGAAATATGGCGTTTCAACCGAATTTGTTCCCCCCAGAACTTTTCAACGTGATGGAGGAGTTTATTCTCTATCTCCAAAATGTGTTGAAAGTAACCCTTACTGTCCCAAATCACTGACAAGTCTAAGATTATTAAAATCAACATAAATTCAATAATATCCTTCTCTTTAATACGATATACATGCTGTCTCTTTCAGACGATTTCAACGTTACCCTGATCTTTTTTCTTCATAAAATCTGCTGTTAAGAAATTATTTGCATAATATATAATTTCGTATTTCTATGGCTTATTCCTTTTGATCATTCCCTATTTGTTCAAGAGATCCAGAACCTCGACTATCAAGTTTTAAGCCAAGTCCATGAAACCAGGAATATCTCTATATACGCTAACTAAATTTATAAGAATTATTCTGTAGAATAGATCGTTTTTTCCAGATTCTTATTTAATGATCGATAGTGCTTTCTTTAGAGCAGTGCAAGCTTCATAAAGCTTTCTTTGTTCTCCTGGAACAGATCTTGCCATTTGTTAATAGACTAATGTAAGAGATCGCAAAAGTCTATCTTCACACCATGTACCTATTGGAGGACCCAGTAAGGAATCTAAAGCTTCAGTCAGTAGTTCGATAGCCTCTTGGAATCGAAAGGATTCTGTCAACACCACTGAGAGGCTGCATAGACTGTATATCCAGACGATTGGAGCGTTTTTCATGGAGCAAAGTACAATTCTCTTTAAAATTAGTTCTGCTTTGACCAAGTGGCCGTATGAATAGAAACATGCAGCCAGACTATAACCAATCATTCTAGTTCTAGGAGTTCCAATAGCTTGTGACTCAGAAACAAATTCTTCGCAACTAAGAAAACAAGATTCAATTCAATGTGTGGCAGACTGTGTTGCATTGTGACGGTCGACGGGTAAACTAAGTTTTTATCAGCAGGCATATCAAAGTTTGAATTAACAAGTATAGCCATAGCCTCCAATGCAACATCTTGCCTTTCGGTTCGAGACTGACGATATAACGCCCACTTTCGAGTCATTGGGTGGAACGAATAGACGGCTCTTTGCGATAATACTGAATTCGATCGGAATAAACTGAGATCTCGAAGCTCTGTGACCACTGCTAAAAAAGCAGAGCTGTTCCACTCACATGTCTCCTGGTCCTGGAATATATTGATCCATGATGGTCTCTCAAAACTCGTCTCAAAAAACTGGCGGAAGACACACTCGTCTATGCAATTGCCACCGAAATAGGCGCTGACGAGAAGAAAGTGTCTCTTGGCCTCAATAATCTCTTTGGATCCAGATATACGATTGTAGGGTAACTCCCATGTAGTGGATACAGTGAGCGTTATTTCCTGATCGGGGCCGCTGGGTCCAATCTTTTGTAATTCTTCAGGGGCAGAGACCAGGCCATGATGTTTTCTTGCTGCTTGTCGAAATGCTCAATAAATAGACTGAGGCTTATTCCTGTAGACTTGATGTATGCCCCGGCTTGATCCACTGCTAATGCCAAGCATGAAAGATGGCAACAAATCTTGCGGGCATCTTCTACATTGCCATGCGTTCTCTCTTTCTTGGTCCGGTGGAAAAGTAGATTCATAGCTTCTTCCTCGAGCAGATCGCCAACAGGTATTGGGTAACCAAGATCATTGGCTGATGGATGACGACCCGTTACGATGATAAGACCAAAATCGCTTTGTGGAAGATATTTGGTGATTTCATAATCTGCGGGATCATCGAAGTTGTCAAAGACGAGAAGCCACGGCTCTTTCCACATTTCAATTTGTTTACGCACTAGGGCTGGAAAAGATGTCAAATCGACTGATCCTAAGGATTTTCCAATGATTGAGTCTGCGATTCTAATGAAGCTTTGATCGATTGATGTCTTCGCGGTGCCATCAATCCACAGCACAGCATTTAAACCGCCTTGCGATACTGCTATTCGACAGTAATGTAATGCAAGTTGGGTTTTCCCAGACCCCCCATACCTTGAAGAACTATAGTTTTCGATGATCGTTTTAGCAACACATCATGAAACATACAGTCAATTGCATGCATGCAAGATCTGGGCACGAAGCCATGTCGATCAGCTTGGGAGCGTGGAAAGCAGATGTGTTGAGTGATTGAGGGTAGTGTTACATGATTGTCTAAGTTCATTAGCCTTGAAAATGAAATGCCAAATCATAACTAATCACCAAGCTGATATAATTGAATTCCCGGCTGAGTCCTGTGTACCAACGCCGCCACAATGCCATCAATTTGATGACTGATGCCGTCCTTTCGAAGGTATGCTCTCGTATGATTTTTGACTTGTCCAAGCTCTTCCAACTCTTCAAGGCCAATATCTCCTATATCTCTGCCAACATCAATTCTGTCATAAACGCCAGGAACATTGGCAAACTTCTTTTCCATCTCGGCAGCCTCTTTCTCTGTTGATGTTGCCATGCCGTTCAAGATGTTCACAAGGCTCATAGGAGCCACTTTCTCCGTCAATGACTTTGGTCTCGTGAAGCTAAAGGCTTTGAGGATGCCAGCACCAATACTTAAAGTGCATGCAACAGCCCTGGTTTGTGCAAATTCGGACTTCGCTTCTGATATCAGCTGTTTTATAGGGTTATTGCAGCCAAGACCAGCGTCAACAAACACTTCATCAATCCCGTTCTCTTCAATGAGAATGCTTTGAAAGAAACGAGGGGCTGCACATGGTGCTCGAGCTGCTTCCCAAATCTTGCAGTTGGGACTTCGATCTTTAGCCAATGGCCATGTACGAAACTTGGTGGGGTCCCCTTCCACATGGCTTGAGCTGACAGCACACACGAAGCTATAGATGACGAGAAAGTTAGCATTACAGGAGAATTCTCGAGGGTGAAACATACGCTTTGCACGAGTGGCGAGTTTCTTCTTCGTCCGCAAGCATCCTGTCGTTGCCATGGCCATGCCCATATTTGACTTCTAGCAAAATTTTGACCGCTCTCTCCATATTTGATGACCCAAATGCATAACCGTGAACACTTTTCGATCTTTTGTTTTTGAAAATTTCTTTCCCCAAAGAAGCATAGCATCTGATAGCTTCTGCTGTTGAAAATCGAAGTCGACCAAGGAGCAATGCGATCAAACTAGAGTTGGTAAGAATCTATCCCAAGCTAGGAAGTCATGGAGAGTGAGCCTTACCCTCCAGTACTTGTTCCACATATCGTATCAAAATAATCTGCTGGTAGTAAATCAACCGGAGATTTGAGTGCCTATTTGAGACGGTTCATAATCTCGTCAAGAATGATCAGCTCGGATAGTCCTCGAATACCCCCACCATCTGTAATCATTCATTAGTGATTGTCGGGAGCCGAACGAAGTGATTTGCTTCTTACCAAGCGATAAAAGTCTCAAAGGTGGTGCATTTATTGCATCCTGCCCGGGAACATAAGTCGATGATTCGAAGGAAGACATAATCAATGATGTATATGGTCGTTATTCAAATGGAGACAGAGAAAAAGTGGAAAGAAGATGCTGAAATATGATGAACGTAGAGACTTCAAGTACAGTAGAAAAGATAAAGGTAAAACTCTCAATTGCAACCTCAGGTCTAGCATTTTTGTTTGTATCTGCGCTATAGACAGCTTACCATTCAAAAAAGAAAAAGAAAGAAGAAAAGACCTGAGACACGTTTCCCATTATCCCGACGGCAGATTGATGGTATCAAATCAAACTTCTCGGAAAAGGGCATTGCTTCCCAGAAATTCTGATATCATCACAGGTGGCTTCATCTCATCGAAAATGAAGGGGTATGCTCCATGCTCAACCGTTACAGTTGCACTCAATAACAAATTTTGATCGAAAAAGTAAGCTTAGTGTCAGTAGCTTCCCGTCGGTGAGAAATTTTCACTGGTTTTTAAGAACTGCTTTCGGAAGAAAATCGCGTCTATGGATGCAATTAGCCATACACAATTTCAGAGTCCACTATAATATCGGAAGACTCCCTAGCCCTTCCGCTCTCAAAAGAACAAAGTGAAAGTCAAGTCTCAATCTTCACCGACTATCCTCTGCCCTCTACTCCCAGCTTTTGTTTGCTTCTTTTCCCTCTCTTTTTCGATCCCCGAAAAACATACTGAATACCAGATCTCACTCTTCACTCTTCACCCATCACCCATTCACGACCTCTCCGCTGACTACGCTCAGCCTCCTACTCTTCATCTATCTCTCATCCCTTTACGTCTTCTACCACTTTCATTGTCCATTATCCATCCTCCATCTACTCATATCTGTTTAACCTCTTCTTCTCCCAGATCAACAGAATCAACAGAAAGCTAATCCATCATTACACTCATTATCCACTATTTTATCTTCAGCGGATGACCAGCGCCATCCATGACCGCCACTGAGCAAACAATCATCACAGAATCTGTCTAGTACCATGTTGAAAAAAAGCAACTTCCCATGTCTACAGATTCTTACTATCACAAACTCCTCGTCCTCTTTCATCCTCCATTCTTTTCCTTGCCACCGCACTAGCACTAGCATCAGTACTGCTGTTTCCCTTTCATCACCTGCATCACCTGCATCGCGCTCACTAGCCACTCTCTCTTCTATCCCATTTACCACTCTCCGCCTTTACATATATCAATCGGACTATCACCATCATTATCTCTCCCACCATTCCATCATCACCAATACCATCAAACCCCCCCTTATCACTCGTTTCACCCCAGAATTTCATCCAATACAAAGTAAGACACGAACTTCCGCATTAACGAATCCCTACCACCACCAGACTCTCCTCCTATCCCGAACAAAAAAACAGTCCTTAAGTCAATACCCAAACAAGCAAGCACTTCAATATTTCCTCAAGTATCTGAACTTCGACCTCCACTCCACTCCTGAATTTTCACACCTCACACCTCATACCCCCTTCAAACTTCAAACTTCAAACTTCAAACTCCAATCTCCTTCGATCCACCTCATCATACAACATGATTTGATTCGAATTGCCGAGATTGATTCCAAATTTTAATTCGCTTGAACTAATATCGTATCATATCATACCATATCACATGTCCTGACTTGACATTCATGATTCAAATTGATCTAATATGGTCCAATTTGCTTCATTGGATTCCAAATCCAAATCCAAATCCAAATCCTTATTTCAGTTCGAATGCAAACTTAAATTCATACTCACAATTCACAACTCATCACATCACCATATCATACCCACTACCATAGCCCCCCCCTCCCCCCGCTATACCAATAATCCCCAATGCAATAATAACAACTAACACCAGGGTATCCATCCACTCAGAGCTCCCAGTGATCAAGAAGAGATCAAGAAGTGATTATATACGCAATCATCTAGACATTGACACTCACCATTCTGCACTCTGCATTCAGCACATATACAAACATAAAAAGAAGAACCGCAGTAGAGATGAAAAGATTCCTAAACCTGATTGATATCATAAGTCAACCCACAAAAATAGCTGAGCTAAAAACTATGCTCGAAAATGATATTGCAATGCCCATATTCGCCGGCCAGCATGTTACCAATGCGTTCATGTATCAAAATACCTCCACCAAATTGTGATTCGGTTCTCCTCATTCTCTGACATCTCTTTTTCCTTCCACCTCAAAAACATTAGATAGCCATTTTATCCAAGATTTTCATCACTCCCTTGCCCTTATTTCCACCATCATCCAACTCCTCAATCAACTTTTTAACTCTCTCGCTCAAGGTAACCAAAACCTTTCGACAATATTCGAAACTTCCCGTTTGTTCCATATAAGCCACTGCATATTTCTTAACCTGTTCATCATCTGGCTTCTGTTTCAGAATATTGAGCAGAACGAGATTATCGGGGGCGGCGCGAATGGAATGGATGATGGGAAATGAGAATTTGCCTTCCGTTAAATCCTCACAGAGCCCCTTATTTTGCGAGTATTCGGGCGACGAAAGATTTTGATAATCGTCGCGAATTTGGAAAATGATGCCGATGAGGTTGACTAATGGAACACAATCCCTAGGCAGGGGTTAGCATGTTTCTGTTGATCGGTGGGGGCGGGGTACCCTATCTACCTTGAGGTTTTGCTCTCAGCTTGCATGAGCTTGACAGCGAGTCTGAAGAGCCCACCAGTCTTATTACCAACCATTTCCAAATAATCGTCTTCGGTGGGACAAGTGAGACTATCTCTCCAGAATAAATCCATACCCTGACCCCGATGAAGATTTAATAACTCTTCCGTGTAAATCGTAATAGCTTGTGGATTGTTGAGTTTTTGAAGTTCTTGCAATGCGCAAAAGTATACATAATTTGCAGAATTGATCGTTTGCGCCGTACCAAAAATACTATGTGCGACAGGTAATCCGCGTCGCAATAATGATGAATCTTCAACATCATCGACGAGTAAGGATGCCGTGTGCAACATTCCCACGACTTTGGTGATGACCTCTAAACTCTCCGGTGGTACCTCCAACCATTCATTGAATGCGGCGATCAATTGTTTTCTTATATCCTTTCCTGGATGTGCCTCCAAATAATCGTATGGACCGAACAATATCTTTTCCTTCTCTGGAGCCCAAGAACTCCTTCCATGAAATGCCATATCGTTTTTTGTATATTTATTTGGATCTGGAGCAGAACCTCCGTGGATTGAAGGATTCATGGCTCCCGAAGATTGAGAAGATTGTGCGGTATGCATACTATTTCTCTGACTGATCCAATCGCCTTCCGGGACTGGACGCAGGACAGATTTCGAAGCTGAGTGATTGATATTATTTTGACCGTTGGAGGAAGTTCGTGGAGGAATCGCGTTTGGAGAAGGAAAGTTTTCGGAAACCATAATGGAAGGACCTCTAGTTGGAAGAAGTCGCTGAAACATTTGGGACTTGCTTTATTTCACTCTTTGAATTGATAGGCGGGGTGAACAAGAATGTGATAAATTGATGCGTAACCCTTGCATGGATTTACGGCGATGAAGAAGGGGAATTTGTAATGAAGCTTCCTATTTCTGATTATTTGGATGCAATTACCAATGCCAATACCGATGGAGATGTAGATAGATAGATAGATGGATAGATAGATAGATAGCATGCGCGCGCCGTAACTGTAGGCAAGAATGGCTAGTAGCTACCTAGGTAAGTAAGATAGAGATATATGTTGGCAGTCAGCAGAATGTAACGGTACGGTTACTTTATAGTTTGCTATTTGTTTATCATTTACCCCAACTCATGCTTAAGATGATTAGTTTTGGTCGTGCAAAAGGCCGGGAGCTTGAGTATTTCTTCACGTGTTGAACAATAGACTTTCTGCAGATGTCTGTGAGAGTGAGGGTGGTGGTGATGGTGGTAGCAATAGTAGTAGTGGCTGTGTGGTATGTTTGTCTGGTCGTGTGAGAATACAGATATCATACCTAGGTAGCTGGAGGTTCTAGATACAATAAGTATCTTGATGAACATGCCATATTGGAAGACATGAGGCTGACGATAGCTATTTTCTTCTTCCTTTCTTTATAAAAAGAAAAAGCTGTATGGACCTTGATGCGTAGGTATATATGTGCATCTTGATAATTGGCATTGGGTAGCTACAAAGTAGGTAGGCTCGAGGTAGGGTACTAGGTAGATATCCATATCCAAAGATAAAATAGTTTCATATGAATATATTGCTATTGCGTCATGTATATTTCAAAATCGTGATAATAATAACAATAGAAATAAAAATAATAATAATAATAATAATAAAATAAACAAAACAAAACAAAACACAATCAACAAACTTCATTAAGAAAGAAAGGGCAATCAATACCCACAGACAAACTCACTCGAACCACTGGCTGTCAATGCACTCTTCACTCCATATCCATCAGCGAATACCGCAAGCTATCCTCGATTTTGCTACCTACTACCCAGTATCTTCCCTGAAAGCCTTCCCGTCGCTGGGATTCGTTGCCCTGAGAACGATTATACCCCGAAACCATTATACCAAACACCCAAAATTGTCTGTGATTCAAACTGTGCTTCTTACAAAATTCAAAATTTCTCAAAGAAGATAGATACCTACCTTCTTTCTTTCCCATACATTCTCTTCATCTTCCTGTATTAACATCTTCAAATAAAGCCATATTTATTCCTTTTTTCCAATTGTACGCAATCAATCTTTCGAGAATCAGATAACAAAAAATTCAATTCATTCACTCACTCATTCATTCATACAAGCCAACCAATTCACGCATTCAAGAACACGAACCCGAACACCAAACATTCAACAATGGAAGCATTACTTTCTCTCTCTTTCGATAATCTTTCTTCATATGATGCTTCCAAAATTCGCAAAGGCCTCCGACAGGTCGAAGGACTATTAGCCCAAATTTGTCTATCCAATTCTCCAAGATCCAATGTCGATAAACGCCGTTCAGGGATTGATCCGGGAAAAGAACCACCTCCACGAAAAGCTCTGAGTGAACTACCTAATGATGCCGCATTTCGAGAGTTCTTTCGATTACAGGAGGGTTTCGAATGGAATGTTGCTATGCGATTGGTTACCTGCTTGGATAGATTGATGGGAAAGACTAATGATGGACAAAGTGATTTGTTAATAATTCAAACATTGGAATTGATCCAGGGGGTTCTCTTGTTACATCCTCCTTCTAGGAGTCTATTCTCTAGAGAATTATACATGAATGTATGTATCCATTCTATCAATCGTATTTTCACGCTCTTCCCGGAATGATGTACATATGATATGATACTAACATTCCACAGCATCTTCTCGATCTCCTCGAACCAGTCAATTGTCCCGCAATCCAATCTGCAACCCTTCTCACCCTCGTCTGTTCACTCATTGACACCCCCAAAAACACTCGCACATTCGAAACTCTCGATGGTCTCTTAACCATAACCTCCATTTTCAAATCCCGCGAAACAAGTCGCGATGTGAAGCTCAAACTCGTCGAATTCCTATACTTCTACCTCATGCCCGAGACCCCATCACTACAATCATCAGGCTCATCAAGCTCCCTGGCATTAATGCAACGCAGTCCTAGCAAACTCCCCGTTGCAATCAATAATCGAGAAGAGTCAGGCAGAAGAAGAGCACAGAGCGAAAGCGAACACACAAAAACATTAGAGGAAAAACAAGAACTGCTTGGGAGATATCTCCATAACGTCGATGATTTGGTAGCAGATCTTCGAGAAAGTCATCCTTTTGGAGGAAGTATCGGGAGTTAATTTACGCGGTCAATGGAAGTTTTAAACGAGATATTGTGAAGGGGAAGGGGAATTGTTACGCATGAGATTTCCTTTGTACATTTGGACACGCATGTCACGCATTAATGGGAGTTATTGTTTGGTTAATTAAGATCGGGGCGTTGGAGGAATTCTATTTTATTCTATTTATCTTGGATTCCGAGTTTCTTTTAGGAAATTCATTCGGTTTAGTCTCGAGTAGTTACATACCAGTACCTACCTAGTGCACAGAGGAGAGAGTATAGATGAGCCATAAGGAGTTTTACCTTCTTCTTTAAATCTTCATGTTTACATCGTATCACGTTCTATCGAATATCATATCATTCTCCATCCAATATCACATCATATCAAATGAATATTTTCAATACTTTCACAGAAATGTAAAAATGTAAACGGTATTTCTCCCTCCGAAATGTATGCACAATGGAGTTTGCTTCTCCGAAGGTTGGTGTCTTAGCCGCTGGCTTGGGATGATATGATGTGCATATTGTCTAGACTAGGAGACTATGTAGTTTGGTAGATGGGTGGATGGGTGGATGGGTGAGTTGATAGGTAGGTAGATTGGTAGGTACATACCTAGTATGCATACATATATGTATCTCTGCATCTGAATTGGATTGTGAGTATTAGGTTGGTAGGTTGGTAGGTTGGTAGGTTTTTACTCACTTACTTACCTCGAGCTTATTTACTTACTTGCCTGTTTTGGTCCTGATGGTCGGATATAGTGGGTGGGTTGATGGGTTGATGGGTTGATATGGATGGATGGATATGGATGGATGTGGATGGATATGGATGGATGGATATGGATGGATGTGGATGGATATGGATGGATAATAGGTACCTAGGTAGGTATTTTTATGCATGAATATATATACATGTAGGTAGGTGTGGTATAGTGTGGTATGGTGTGGTATGGTGTAGTATGGAGTAATATGGAGAGGAATGATATTGGGGAAATTCGCCGCCGGGTGGTATACTGCATTTCCCGTTTGGTGATTGGGTTTTGAGTCTTGGGTTAATAACGATCGTTTGGGGATATGAATTATAAAGATGATTTGAGAGAGGTGAGTTGAAGGAGGGATAGAATGAAGTATATAATGTAGTGGATTGAGTGTTTATAGGTGTTGTTGACTGCTGATTTATTAAGGATAGTTAATAGTATCGTGAGAGATGATTTCAATAGGATTCTACGATACAGGTAGGTGGATAGGAATTGAGAGCGAGAAGTTTGTTTTCTTGGTTTTTGCTTGAGAGATGTGAGCTCGAGTGATGAATAGATACTGCCGGACTCTACTCGGGCTTTTACATTTGACTATCCGATTTTTGTTTTTCTCGCTCAATCCTTTTTATAGATATCTGTCTATGTATGATTATCATCTATTCTATGGTTGTTCTATTTTGTATATAAAGTACAACATGATCTCCCTCACCACACCATCCCAATAAACACCCACCCAGCATGCAAGTACATACATATCCTCAGCTGCACATCCAGGGTTCCAGAATCATCAACGCGAATAATATCAAGCGATATCTACATATGGCTTACGGCTGACCTCAGCTTCTGGCTGCTGTAAATGTTAGGAGATGACTGAACCGGGACCGGGTAGAATGGATATATCGAGATGTAAGATATGATAAGACTGGATTTTTAATCGGAGAGTTTGTTTGTCTGTTGGTTTGCGGATTGGATTTTGATGGAGGGTGCATTGGGTGTCGCTCTTTTGCGGCTGGGGAATCTCTTTTCCTGCTACTTTCTTTCCTCGTTCTTTGCTTTTCTATATTCTTTTAATTCTCCATCAGCGGTTCTTGCCCGAGGGGTTAAATTTCATTATTTAATAAATACTCATTGCCCTCAGTGTGCCACCAGTGGACGGAGACTTTCTACTTTTCCCCGCAAGCGATTGAGGGGATGTTACATACCTATATTTTTCTTGTATAGATATATCTCGGCATGGATCATTGTGTTTGAATCTCGCGATATAAACTATTTTGCATTATTCAAGATGCCGCTGTCGGTATCGATATTTCCACGGTCACAATGGCTGTTAGTATTCCTCGGATTGGGCTTCACGAATGTGGGACAAGTGCGAGGACAATTTGGAGCTGTGAGAATGGAAAATGAGGGGAATGTATTGAGTCCGAGATATTATATGGGATTGAATGAGGGGAAGTTGTTTGAGAGAGATACTGGTGTTTGTCCAAGTGGATCTCATTCTTGTAATTATTTCCAATTTTTAATTCATCTTCCCATCCTGCATCCTCTGTATCTTTCATGGCGGAGCCAATCTCAACTGTACCATGCGAAAAGCAATCACTAATCACAATCTCGTCTCAAAGGTTTTGATATCGATGTTGCAATATGTTGTTCAAACACCGAATATTGCATTATATCCCCCTCCATAGGTCCCTCCTGCTGCGCTATAGGCAGTAATTGCGATTCACCCTGTTCCTCTGCTTCCTTTCTCAGTAACAAAACCATCACCGTTTCGTCCACCACCACCGTAACAACAACCTGTGTTCCCCGCGCATGTCCCTCCATCTCTAACTACCAATGCGCTAGTTCTCTTGGCGGAGGATGTTGCAACTATAACGCGCAATGCGTCTCTTCAGACGGCTCCAGTGGATGCGCCGTCACAATATCTCCTTCCTCAACCCCTGCTCTCGTCTCCGTAATCCCATCCGGTTGCACAACCAACCAATTCGCCTGCGCTAGTTACATGGGTGGTGGATGTTGCGATAATGGATTTGGCTGTGCGGTTCTCAGCGGTACGAATTACTGCGCTGCTACCACCGGCACAGGATCCGCTATTCGCACAGGAAGTAATGGAATTCTAGCCACCGGAGTCTCAGACTCCAATGCCACATCTAGCAAACACGGCCTCTCCACAGGCGCCAAAGCCGGCATCGGCGTTGGAGTTGCGCTTCTCGTATTAGTATGTATAGGAGCTTGTATCTATTTCTTCACCATCCATCGTCGACGAGCTCTCCAATCCAAATCCTCCTCTCATCCCAATGCGGATATTCCACCCGCTGCCATGTCTCAGATTTCCGGCTCCCGACTCTCGCAAAAATCAGAGTCGAAAGCGGGATCGAAAATTTCGAGAAGACCAGGTGCATCTCCGCATGTGAGACAGGCATCGGATTATTTTGGGACAACGGCGCCAAGCGGACCGTTTACGGAGAGCGTGGGCACGAGTCCCGGGTTTGGGAGTCAGAGAGGCGTGCCGGCGACTCCGCAGAGTCCAAATGATATTGCGGCGCCGGTGGAGATTGGGGAGATGGAGAAGGATAGGGATAAGGAGGGGAATGGGAGGAGGAGTGGAAACGCGAGTGTGGCGACGACGCCGGGTGAGGGGTGGGAGTATGTCAAGGGTGGGAATTTTCGGGAGGGGATTGCGGAGTTGGAGTAAAGAGTGGGAAAGTTGCCTCATTGGGAATTTGGATGAGGAAGTGGGAGATGGTTTCTCGATATCACTTCCTTGCTTGTGTTTGGAAAATTATTTTGAGGATTCGTTAGGTAATGCACATGTAAGGAGTATTATACGGTTACTAAAGATGTTTTTTTATTGAAATGCTAAGAAGAATATTTTTCGATATTTTCAGTCATATATCCGATTACAATTTCAGTCCTACTCACTCACTTCTCACACTCATCTCATTTCGTGATTATTCTTCGCTGACTACCTAGATACTTAAATACCTATATTCTGCGATTTTTCTTCTCACCCGAGAAATTCTGCATCTCCCTCCCAACCAATCCCAGAATTACCAGCTCAGAATTCTAAGATTGTCACGAAATATTCTGGGGAACGTTAAGTGCAAGAGTTCAGGAGTGTTTTAGTCATAAACTGGTTGAAGAGGAATATTTTGTATATGATTGATGAGGGAATCGGGGAAAGAGATGGATATGGACATGGATAATTTCTGAAGATTGAGAGAGCGTTTGTGGGGCTTGAAGTGTGGATATGGGAGATGGGAGACGGGAGAAAAAAGCATGCAACCAATTTATCTGTCTAGTTATTTGCGGGACAGTACGATGAGCGAAACATCATACCTTCCGAATCCCTTGGAAAGAATTTCTTGAAATTCGTGGGTCCTGATTTGCGTACATCTGCATGTCGATTTCAATACCACTCTACTTTGTGTGAGTATATGGGGAAGTGACTCGGTGTTGTGATGAAATTACAACGTGATATGTCGTTGGAATATATAGAGAAGATGGCATACTAACAAAGCACGAATTATCTCATTCGACAGTCCGACTTCTTCCACGCTGATCCTACAATACAGGACAGAAAAGATCCAATCCAGAAACCAAAGATTTTGCGCATTCCGCTACTCACAATTACTTGCAATCATGACGATTATCGTTGAATACTGATCCTATCGGAGCCACTTGACATCTCACATCTCGTTCAAGCGTTTGATCTCTTACTCAATTTACTGAGCCTATATCATATCACTTTTCCATACCTACCCATTTGCCATGACCATCACAACTACCGCCTCAAAAGACACAAAATACCATCATCACTGCTTACCACTCCTATCAACACTAATATTACACTCAAATTTTGATGGAGTCAAACACTAAACAAGATAACTTGAAATGACACTCAAAAAATAAAATTTCAGAAACCAATTCAACAGTCTCGCTCATAGGGTGTTTTGTCGCTATTTAATTATATGGCGAGGGATTAAACTGTACCGCTTGACGTCAGTGGTGGTGATGACGATAATATCAATCGGAATGCACTTGAGACATCATAAGGTTGCAAGCGAAGCACAATAGATGGGTGGGAAGTAATTATATTAAAGTTCTACTATCCCAACAATTCTCTCAGTACTATCTACACCAAACATCCGACACTGCAAAAACATCCTACACCGCACACCAGAACAGAAACAAAAACTTCGCTAATATCCATCAATGATCACTAGGTAAACAAAGACTTCCGTTGAAAAAGCCATGGCGCTTTTCCATCTCGGTCAATTTCTCTAGTAGACGGCGGTCAAACTGAAGGAGGTAGGACCCTTGTAGCTCTGGGTGCTACCGATGGTGTTGGCAACCATGACCAAGTCGCTGTTGGGGAGCAAGTGGGTAGCAGTTTCGTTGCTAGCTACGGAAATCGGTTGGGAAACGAAGAAGTTGAGACCGGAACTATCGCGGGTAACCCAGAATGAACGGGAGGAATCGATGCAGGATCCGCCCCATTGTGGGATGTCGGGGAGGGTTCCGTCGGTGTTCTCGGAGACGAGAGCGCTGCATTTGACACCGGTGGTCTCCATGGTGCCGGGTTGGATCACGGAGAAGGAGTAGCTGGTTGCGGGTTAGTGTGTGGTTTGAGATTAGAATGGGAGAATTCTTACAGGCAATGGGTGCTGTGTGGGATGCAGCTGGCGCTGAACTCGGAGATGTTGTAGACGGCGTCGCGCTTCTCGACGGCGGCAGCCGATGCAAGAGCAACGGTGATGGCAGAGATGATAGCAGATGAGAATTGCATGTTTGCGGTTTGAAGATTGATTTCTTGACGAAAAGTTGAGAGGATTGGTTTAGATGTTGGTTATTGTGAGTGAAGATGATGAGATTGTGTGTTTGAATGAGGAATGATACAACAGGATAGATACCTCATTCTTATATATTCCTGCCATCGCTATACATTTCCTTTTTTAATGGAGTCTCCAGAGTGTGTATGTTTAGATACGAGATGCACGATGTACAGAGTACACACAATGCCGATCTGTGGAGCCGGCAATTCTCGCTCTCGTATTCAGTGGATGCTGTGACTTGGCTGTAAGTGGGACGAGGCGAACGTTATTGTTTGAAGGTTGAAGGTTGTTTTTGTTTGCTTGTATGCATGACATTGTGTCCCTACATCACATCGTACGTTGGATAAAAACTTAAGCACATTTGGCATTAATATTAAAATTACTGGGAAAGAGAATTGGTAGACCCAAGTCATTGGTATCCTAAACGACAACTACCTGGATATCACACAGTTACAATTAGATGTTTATTTTTGTAATCTCTTACAAACGTCACATATTTCTAATTTTGTCAGTGATGCATACCAGAATAAAAACACAACACCCAAAAGTTTCCATAGAATCACTAGAATCTTCTATACAGATTCTCTAGTAAATCATGCTGTAAGGTTATTCTTACGCTTAATTATCCCCGCAAATAGTATGCAGTACTTTCGGTACCATCAGGACCGGATATATACCCGCTGTGAAACTCCCGAGATCTGCTCCGACTATTTAATACGAACCCCTAAGAGGTAGTTAGCTAGGTCAACGGAACGACATATCCGAGTGTACAGTGGTATCGGTCTCCTCGATCGAATAACTAATTCTACGCGCACAAATAGCGATGGATACTTTACGAGAAGATGGAGATGTACTAATTATTAGGAGAATAAGTGACACAATTTACCTAAACAAAATCGCACCAGCCGCACCGCATAGCCCCTTTTTGCCTCACTCACTCCACTTCCATATTTTTGGTGGGGTAAAACCCAGTTTGTGGAAAGTCTAATTGAACGATGCGTTATTCAACGTGCTTGGCAATTAGGGGTCAACTTGTCAAAACGTGCTGCTGCTCCGTATTCTTAGAAACATGATGTATGTATGTACCTATTGTTGGCATATTTTGTATCGCTTCGCTTGCCATCTTTCGACACTCGCCTGACCTTTCTTTGTACTGAGTAGTGTAACTGGATTTTTGTCTATGGCCTGACGCTTGGATCGTTACCTGCTTTACTCAGGTCAATACGAGTGTTTGATCCATAGACCGAGTTGTATTCTTACACGTGTGGAATACGTTGACTTTGATATATCGACAGCACACCGCATTAAGCAATGCGCTCCTTGAATTGTTTTGGCAGTGGGTAAAGAAAGGGGTGAATCTTGTTGTTAGAAAAAATGCTCCTCGGTTGATAAAATCCTTGTGTTGATTTACGAGAAACCTGTCTCCACGTTCATCTCCATTTCATTTCATTTTCTTCTTTGGCCCGAGATACACACCCAACGGACATGACTGAGATCAAAGTTTTGAATGACAGATCACACCGGTTTTCAGAACATGAATGCTACGAAAATTGGAGATTTCGTATTCATCATTTCTGATTGTTTGGAATGAAGAACATCAAGAGTAAAGAGTAATTTGCTACGAACTTAATCGCACATCGAGATTTCATTGTTCTGGCAATATCATCGAAAAGTGTTGCGAGTATCCGTTGGCCATGCAATTTTCCACAAAATCTAAGAACCATTGTAACAAACGACTAATTTCGGGCGTCCTTCAACTACCTAGGTCTTTTGGGTATCAATTAAATATTGGAGCTATGAAAGTCCACCTTGTTGAGAATTCGACGACTCTGTTTTCCCACAACCAAAGCCGTCTATCATATTTTTGTCGAACCAGCTCTTGAGGAGTAACCATCATCTGGTACTTTAAGTAAGACTCATCAAGTTATTTACAATCAGCAGTATAGAAAAATAAGAGTATCAGAGGCTCAATACCATAATTATTCTCTTCTGATTTCGAACACAGTCTAATGTATATTTTCTGTCCTTCTTTTTCTAGTCTATCGCACATGTCTCTAGAATTACAAGCCGAGATGGGAGCCTGTTGGTGTTACCCCATTGGCTGGAGGAATTCGCGGGAAACTAGGGATACCATTTTGGCACGCCATCGCAGCATAGTGCGTAGTTCCTCCAAACCTATCAGGATTTCTCATCGGCGGGCAATTTGTTGACAATTCCTTTTCTTCTTCCGCCATTCTCTCATAATCCTCCCCGTTATGTTCGGGAAGGTGCGGCATGAAAAATTCGAATTGATACCTTTCGTTACCCGGAATCGGGAGAAATGGGGTATTATGAACATACTTTTCTTTCCGCACCTGGAATGAACTGCCGGGATACGACCCCTGATTCCTGTAATGGGGGGTCACCATTCTTCCCCCATATAGCCAATCACCAGAGACGCCCCATTGACCCCATGGAACTACCACGACCCAAGGCCCACAAGCTCCGGTATCTGTATCTGGTTTGAGTTTCTCCCAGGGGTTTCCCATCGAGATATTTGCCGATATTCGAACATGAGAAAAGCAATTAACACTACGTATTTCGTCACTAAAAGGCATTCCACCTTGATCAGCGGGTAGAGCACGCTGGCAAATCTCAAGAGCAGCTTTATAGTCACTCTGAGTTCTGCCTTGAGGTCTTGGCAAAATTTCCTCTAGATCTTGCCTCAAAACTTTGGAAGCCATACAAAGAAACTTTTCGAGAGTTGGCGCGAAGGCCGTCAATGCGTTCCAATTCTCGTTATCCTCTGTAAAAGTAGCATTTTGAGCTAGAACAGGAATGGTTATCCGCCCGTAGATTTTGGCCGCGTCATTTTCATGTGATTGCAAGTCGTTTGAGGGCCCGGATGGAATAGTAAAGTCAACCGCGGAGATAAATGGACGGATCGCTTGAAGATTGGTCTGATTTTGTAACCAAATTTCACGACTCCATAGTCCATCGTAATCCGGAGGAACCACAAGGTCACTCATATCTTGTAACTCAGGCTATTCAGCAGCCAGACGGTTAGCATTGAAACAACCAAAGAAATATCTGTGCATTCTAGAATTCAATTTGACAACGGGAGTGAATGGGTGGAAATACATACTTGAATAAAGTTCTCTTCAAAATCTATGTCGTATCGTTATTTTAACATAACCAAAAATCGATGATCTCTGAGTTGGAGTCGAGCAAAATTGTTGTTGTTGTTTATGTTCAGGTCTAGGAGTTCCTGGGAAGCAGAATTCAATTTATTACTTCTGTTTAACCCATCGTCGCACTTTCCAGACGATTGTTCAGTATTAGGGAGGAGAAACAATATGTCGTTCTTTCCGCTTTAAGATTGTTTGTTTATCATTCTATGCATATGTCACAAGTGGAAGGAACGAAATGGTAAGAATCCTCGCGCGTGAAGATATCAATGTATATGCGGTTTTAGAAAGGAAAAATAAGCCATACATTGATTTTCAAATTTTCTACTTCCCTCTCTGAATGTACGCTTGATTTTTGTGTATTGCAATTCCTTCGGGTTTCTTGCTAAAACAAATGATCTTTGAAAAATGACTATATTCCTCAAACGCAACCGAGTAATCATCACATCAAGCCGCTTAATTATAGCCCACGAATTCGAGTTTCATCCAAAAAGGCCTTTGAACCTTTTATTCAAAGAGTTACCTACAATCAAGTACTATGAGGCTATTCGGCCCCCTTCAATGTACCTACTGGCAGTCTGATTAGATACTTTTCGATAGGGAGGCCTTTGCAAAAGAGAGGTGATTCATCACTAACGCAAAAAACTACCTATTTCCAGCCTCTTCCCTCTCTTGACATCTCCTGTGGCAAGAGCTCTCAACTTCACTTTTATTGAAGCTCAATAGGGCCACTGCGATTTTCCTTATCTACTCAATACGAACTTTTGACTGGAAAACCCCCAATGACGAAAGCTCATTCAGGGCTTGCAACCCACAAAACAACTGTTTATTCAGGATGACTAGACTGCCTTTCCTGCAATTGAGTCCTTCTGTGCTTGACTACTTTACAACTGCCCGGAGGGAACGTTTGGTATGGGTTATTAGATTTTCAGTTCAAATAATAAGTAGCCTTGTTCTCTCCTTATGACATTCAAAACCCAATTCACTGCAATCCTCAATTGGAAACTCTAGACAGGCGGATTTGACCACATAATTTTCTTCATTGAGACTCGTATTTTCTCCATCAATTATCCTATTGGCCTGTTTATTTGCCTTTGCGAAATGAGGGATATGTATAATTGATCTGGAGAGCAGTATCAAAGGATAAATAAAAGGGAAACCTTAAGACTATCTCATTTCCCTTGGGAAAGAAGTTGTTCGGTAAGGAATTCGCCATCATCCCAGGAACAAACAATCTCTTATCCCCTAAGGTGCCAGAAATGGGCTCCAAAAGTGGTCTGTGCGATATACCTTGAATGATAAAGCCTTATTGGATCAAACAGCTATTTTAATAATTTTTCAATCACGTTATTTATAATATAGAATCCTTATTTCAGATTTCGATTTTTTATAATTTAAGTAAAGAGTAAAGATTGAAAATTAGTATGTATTATTATATTCGAAGTTTTGATATATAAGTGATGTTGATTGAATTTTATATTAAAGAATAAATGCGAATGGTAGATTATATTCAAGGAATCCTGATGATTTGATTGGCCAATAAGTCCCTGTTAAGCGACAGAGCCCATTTCTGGCACATCAGGGAAGATGCTGCTAGTGTTTTCATTGTCTCTGTCTCTTCTACCAGCAGAGACAAATATATCGCGACATCATTGGAAAGTTCTTGCTTTGTTGGGTATTCTAGGCCAAGCGCTACAATCTTAAATGCTCTGGCTCCTGTTCTGGTCTAAGCTTTGTAACCAGGGATTCCATGGACATGATATCATTATTTTTGAATTTACGATCTTGTCTATGCTGCGTCTTTGCGTGCATTCTTCAGAATATCTACAATACTTACGTGCCCAAATGCTTCTGCTCTCGACATTGGTGTTTGGTTATCCCCATCCCGTGCATATATATCAATCCCCTCAACATCAACGATCACACGCACAATATCCTCGAGACCTAACGCTGCCGCCCAAGAGAGTGGAGTGCGTCCATTTTTGTCTTTTCGGTTTGCGTCTACTTTTCCTGATGATAAGAGCACTTGAACGGTTCTCGGATCGGATTTTTCTAGCGCCCATGCTAGTGGTGTCCACCCGTCAACATCTTCTGCATCAGCTCCTACGCCGTTGCATTTGATGAGGTAGTCGACAATCTCATAGTGCCCACCACCTGCAGCCCATGATATCGCGTTCCTCTGATCTTTATCCTTACCAGAAATCTTTAGTTTTCTACTCTCGAGTAACAGTTTAATTACCTCTAGATGCCCAGCCGCAGCAGCCCACGATAAGGCATCTCGTCCAGAGAGATCTTGGTTCTGACAGTGCAGTCGATCTATCGTCAACAAATGTTTAACAATTTGGGTTTCACCACTTTCAGCCGCCCAAGAGAGCACGTTCCGCCCTCTTTTATCAACATGATTAACATCTGTGCCAGGATTTCGTGAGAATAACCGCACGATATCTAGGTGCTTACCGCCAACGGCCCAAAAGAATGGCGTCCATTTGTTCACATCTTGAACGTCCAATTGTACGCGAGAATCTTCAAGCAATGCTTTGACGATATCAACATGGCCATTACTAGCTGCCAGTGACAATGAGTCTCGGCCTCCAATGCCTTGAACATTTGGATCTATCTTATCAAGATTGAGAAACAGTTTTACAACTTCCAGACATCCATATTGAGCTGCGACGATCAGAGGATGTAGTGCTATTGAGACAGTCATGCCCTGCCAAACCCGAGTTTTTAGAACATCAATAATCTCTAAGTTGCCCTTCCTAGATGCCCAATACACAGCCGTTTCTGTGATATTCTGATCGTGCTTATAATCTCTTGCTAATACCGCATCCAGTATTTCAACGTGACCAAAGTAGGATGTGGCAATCAATGTATCGAATTTAGAAGGATATAAACACTCTGGCTCTGCAAAAAACCAGAAGTAACGAAACCAATTCTTGGCCCAATTCTGACTCGTGTTCAGTAGACTGAAGGCAGAGTTGAAAGCAATTTTCTTCGCTGACCCTGACCTCGAATAGTGCTCTGACCAATATCGAGCAGAGTAATCGAAGAGGGCATGAGCAGCGGCTATGTTTTGGTATGTACGGTAGCCTGTATATTCAATTTCTTGGAGAGTGATGTCTCCCTCAAGTTTAAATGCGTCCCAGACAGTATCCTCGTCCTCATGTTGTGCACTACTAGGTGAGTCAACATCAGTCGCATGCGCGAACTTATCGACCGCAAAATCGTCTAATAGAAGATATGACATCGTTGCCTCAGCCAGTAAGTAGTTGGCTTCCTCGACTTTGACGCCGAACATTTGAGATAAAGGATTATCCTTCCAAGTCCAAAGGTTTTGCAGGAATTCTTTAGCAGACTGGTGCACGAGGGACACTTTGTTATCGGATATTCGTACCAACGGACCTAGTATGCCCTGGATAGTTTCGCTGATATTAGGTTGGCACTCCCCCTCGACTTGCTCCATATTTCGATGGTGGGGTTGGATAGCCAGTAGAATTCGAAGTTCGTCTAGTGAAAGTGAGCGCATGCTACCAACAATAAAATGCAGTAGCTTGTTTGCTATGATCTGATAATCCGAATGAATGCTCAATAAAAAGCGCTCGTAAGTAGCTGTTAAGCCACTTGGGAGTTTGTTAATGATCCGCTGAAAATCATTCTGGGAAGCAAGGTATGTCCTCTCTAGGATATGGAGAATTACAGTCACCCAGAGGAAGGTTTGGTCGGCTCGTGAATATAAAGCATGTTCCAAAAACTCTCTTGTTTCAGGGCGGCACTGCGTCCTTCTTACTATTGCATCAATTCTTGTCCGTATGACTAAATTAAGATCGCTTTCGTTGTTCGAGTTGAGGTTCTCAATTGATAGAGTATACTCGGTGCGTTCGCGCGCCAACGCATATTGACGCCACAACAGAGGTCGACTGGTGATTAGAAATTTTATAGCATATGTACCAGAAGAGTTTTTTTGGTTCACAAGTGATGCAATTGCTCTCAACAAGCGATCTCTCGTATTCTCTTCGCATTCATCGATAGCATCAACAATGACATTTATATGACCAGCTTTTCGATCGTTTGTTATAGCCGTAAATATTCTCCAGAGTTCATTGAAGTTATCTGTCAAATGAGCTCCTTGCATATCATATGCCGCCTTGACATGTTTCACCAAGATGCGTCTTCGTACAATAATCTGATAGATGAGACTACGAATAATGGCTTTCGCATCTCTCTGCGCTTCAATCTTCTCGTCACAAAAGAAGCAGCAAACAATCAGTTTGGTACCTGCTGAAGAAATGCTAGATCCAAGATTTTCGAGTAGAAATGCTGACAAGATAGTCTTACCACTGCCAGAATTTCCACTAACCCACAAAAGACAGGCCTCTTTTTCTGATGACCAACGGACATATTGTGGATTTGTGAGCACCCATTCACAAGTGCCCTCGACGCGGCTAGGCAAAATAGACTGATACTCCAACATATCTGGCTTATTGAATAAAGATATACAAAGACGTTCAGTCTCGTTCAGTGCTTGCTTCTCTTAGCTCAAGTTTTTTCTCTGTAAATCTAGAATTGCAGCACGTACAATAGACCGAGGATGCAGAAGTCTTTTGACTGGGTGATGCCTTCGGTGGTAACCCAGTGTTTTTGTTATCCGTACTCCTTGCAAGTGATTTTGTCTTTATGAGTGATAAGCATCGTTGCAGTTCACCCACCACTTTCTGGTAACCATCCTCGGTCCTGTCAGCAAATCTGCACATAGACATATGATTCGCGTTGATAGTCTGAATTCGCTCACTTCCCGTAAGAGTAGATGAGATGTTTTCAACAACCTATGGAACGGAGATGATCAGCAAAGATGCAAGGAACGGCAGTTTAGAACCGACTTTATGATCAAATTTTCCATAATTCACTCCTGTCATTCCTTGTGCTTCTTGAAATGTGCAAACCTCAAAATGTCGATTTGGCCGCTCATATAAAGAAATGAACCCTTCATGGATGATTTCGAGGTCCGAACTGTTGAATTGAAGATTCCGGATGCTTTGATCGTTCGTACTAAAGCCCACAGCGGACACGATTCTACGCACAACCTCACCTAATTCACCCATTTGACTACCGCGGTGAGGGGTACCAAGAAAAAAAATTGCTATTGTAGAAAGATAGATGTCACTCAGATTCTTATCGGGTTCAATCGCAGCGCGCCGTATCACCTAAACGGATGGTCAATAGCCTTGACTGTGATAGCTTGTATGAGTGGCGATGTAAGAAGAATTGGCTTACATCTTTCACGATAATTCCTAGTCATCGTCAGCAGATTTATCGTGATGTAATCGGGAAATCCACTCACCACCCATAGAATGTGCAATAAAGACAAGGGGACGTTCTTTCTAAACCAGTTTTGTTTAGTAACACGATGATCAGAGAAATAGGAAACGTACACAATCTAGACGCTTGTTGCTTAGCAAGTAAAGAAGATCCTTTGCATATGCGAAAATGTTGTTCTGGTTTGTCGGGCCTCTAAAGAACTTGGCAACGACAGAATCATAACCCCAAGTAAATATTCTCGTGTTATTGCAATCATTTGGCAAAAGATCCAAAGGCCAGTATACCTCTTGTTCAGTTAGTTTTGTCTGAGAAACTCTGGCTTTGGGTTTGCCTCTGGAAAATATATTTTTGAGACTTCGGCGAGGTTCGTCTTTAGTCGTGGCTTGTGAGGAAAAGTCAGTATTCGGTATGTCTTTGCTCTGATGAGTTGCGCACGTATTTCTTTTGCTGTCCAAGTTCTTCGAGGATGGCCTTGCAAGCCATGAACAAAGACAATACTATGGTAAGCTAATATTAGCTGATGTTATGCTGGCTTTTGGAGAGACTTATTACTCTGCGATACAGTCACTAGGCTCGTGAAGCACAGACAGCCCTATGTCGTGTATATCCATCGATGCGCCCTGTTATCTCGATCAATGTTCCGAAAGCACCGAAGCATATAAGATATTCCACAAACCATTATTCCTTAGTGCTGTGAGTACGACAACGTTGCACAATCTCGAGTGGAGTGCGGCACGATGATAGTATGTTTCTAATTGAATAGATGGCGATTGTTGGTTTTTGCAACCACAACAGTGATTATGTCAGCCAATCGATAGGCGTATCTATCGTCATGCAAGGGTGCTTGCACATTTTAGCACTAAATCCAATCAAAATACAGAGCAACCAGGAGACAGAGATTTCGCTGTAAGCAAGCTTGTGCTACTTCTGTATTGATACCAGGATTGATGCAATCTACTCTTTTCAGTGTAGCATTAATGGTTTCTTGTAGCTATAATAGATGATATATCTATAGTTAGGAGAGGTTTATTTCAGACAATTAATAGAGCGTAGTGTCTGTATATCGATAGCTATGTTATTGTTGTTTTGTTTTGTTGCTATCGAGGTCTGTAAGAACAACCTCGAGAGAAAACTGAAACAAACGAGTAGTCTAATGATTTGTTCACTTTCTAAGGATATATAACCCTACCGAACGAAATTGCCATTGTACTCGATAGGAAAACGGAAACTATTACGACGAAAAATGTTACTGGAGTCTGTTGTCGGCGACATGGTATCAGCAAGGATTCACCAACGGAGGTAAGTTCTTATTACCGATATCAATACCACCGTCGCGCCAACGTGCATACAACTTGAGAATCAGTATGTTTACTCTCATATGTCATTTTGACTTCATAATGCTGTTTGTGACATCTCTACTCTTCCGGCGAACTTTTTTTTCACGATGAAGCAGGTAAAACCCGAGCCATTGGCTGGTAATGAGATGAAAGAGGAAGAATCCCTATCCGAGCACATCATCAATGAAGAAGATAGTTCGAAAGAAGAACTCAAGAATGTTTCAACTAGGCTTGCAGCTGAGAACAATTCTCGACCAGAGAAATTTGAGGGAAGCGATACCGTTCAGAAGAACGATATTCCTGACGAAAAGACAGTACTCGAAGAGCAAGAAGTTCTATATACATCATTTTCTAAGTGGGAGAAGAGACTTCTCGTCTTGATAGCTACATTCGCCACTTTCTTCTCCCCTTTCACAACTCAAATTTATTTCCCGGCTATCAATACCATTGCTGAAGACTTGCATGTCACCAGCAGTCAAGTAAATTTGACAGTCACAACTTATATGGTAAGTCTCGTCTTATTCCTTGCTACATCGTCTCACACAAAGCCATAGATTCTCCAAGCTATAGCTCCGGCTTTCGTCGGTGGATTCTCGGATACAGCAGGTCGTCGCCCGGCTTACATTATCTGTTTCACGATTTACATCATATCAAACATAGCTCTCGCTCTCCAAAACAACTATGTCGCTCTCCTCATTCTCCGCATGGTGCAATCAGCTGGTGGATCCGGTACTGTTGCTTTAGCAAATGCTGTAGTAGCCGACATTGCCACTTCCGCTGAAAGAGGAATTTACGTTGGTTATGCATCCATGATGGCTGGATTTGCACCCGCAGTCGGTCCTATTCTTGGCGGTATCATATCCCAATACACCAGCTGGAAATGGATTTTCGGATTCCTAGCAATTTTCTCAATGATCTTCTTCATTCCACTACTTCTTTTCATGCCTGAGACCTGCAGAAAAATCGTAGGCGACGGATCAATACCGCCACCGAAATGGAGTCGTTCACTCACCAATTTCCGTAAAGAACATAAACTTTTAAAGCAGGGTATTACTCCCGATTACTCAAAACGCGATGAATTGGCCGCAGCCCGGAAATTACGCTTTCCAAATCCATTGGCAACTTTACGAATAGTATCGGAGAAAGAAGCGACACTTTTACTATTTTATGCCGGAATTGTCTATGCAGGTTTCTATGCCATCATTTCCGGAATGCCTTTTCAATTCCACGATATATACGGCTTTGACGATTTAAAAGTCGGTCTTATGTATCTTCCCATCAGTGGTGGATGTTTCCTCGCCGCTTTCACACAGGGTAAAATCATCGACTGGTCTTATTTCCGGGAAGCTCGTCGCTTAGGAATCACAGTTGTGAAATCTAGACAACAAGATCTATCTCATTTTCCCATCGAAAAAGCACGATTGCAAGTGGGATTTCCCATGATTTTGCTTGCAAGTTTAAGTACCATCACCTATGGATGGATAATGCATTTCCGGGTAAATATTGCAGGACCTTGTGTGATTTTGGTCGTGCTAGGGTATACGTTGATTGCTAGTACGCAGGCTGTTAGTATTCTAATTGTAGATGTTAATCCTGAGGCTGCAGGGTCGGCGACGGCAGCGTTTAATTTGGTGAGGTGTTTGTTGGGGGCAGGAAGCACGGCTTTGATTGTACCGATGGTGGATAAAATGGGGTTGGGGTGGTCATATACCTTTATTGCCTTGTTGTATGTCGTCTTGAGTCCAATGTTGTTTGCGGTTATGAAATTGGGGCCGGGCTGGAGGAGAGAGAGAGCGGAAAAACAAAGGATTGGGGAAGAGAGGAAAAAAGACGACGAAGCCGTGAGGGATGGACAGGCTTAGAGGGACCTCGGCGATGGGTAAAAGGAGGCGAAATGTTGTATTGATGAAGTTTAAATGATGCTAATAACCTGAAGTAGCTGAGGAGTGCCCGCAAATAGACCTTCCTTTTCCAACCAGAATAGTACAAGTTAATGGTTCCTGCATGTAGATTTTGGTTGACTATATATATAAAAATGTATTTGATGTATAGATGAGAACAACAATTCATCGGGACTTCCGCTGACTGCAAGATGGGTCAAAGAATCGAAGAAAGCAACAATAATTGCCCATGAACCTAAACCTTTTCTTCTTTCCTCGCCAACGATCAATTCCAATTCCAATCACTCTGACTTCTGGAGCTTCTCTAACCCCTCTCTTCTTCCAGTACTTTCAGGATCAAGGTATGGTCTTTCACCTAGACTCACGGCCCTTTGACCAGCCCTCTCGCCCAGTCCCAGATTTATGTAATCAGAAGTGGCGACATGATACTTTTTTCAAAAATTCGTCAGCTTAGGGGCCGCTGTAAGTATGGGGTTGGAGAGCTCATACATTCGACCTATTATCCCAAATCGCCAAATCGTTGACATTCTCCCACCGATGTCTCACTTGGAGATCATGGTTATTAACCACAAGTCTCAAGAACCATGCCAGCAACGCATCGCTTTCGATAGCTGTGAGGTTGTTGATATGGGAAACATGATGGCCAAGTGCAAAGATCGATTTCCACTTTAATTTCCTGTGTTAGCCTTCAGATCAACCTTCAGACGAATGGGATACGTACGCCTGTGACAGGATTTGTTCTAACAACCGGATGAACAGCTTCCAATTTTTCGCCAACATTCTCCAGTGCACCCCTTTCTGCCGAATAAAGTTTAAATCCGTTCTTCTCTGCCGCTTTGTTGAATTCCGGTTGCGCATAGGTAGCTGCTAACGTCTCAAGAAACTTCTGTATAGGTTTCGAGATTCGATCATAGACCTCGTATCCAGAAGCCCAAAGTGTATCACCTCCAGTTTTTGGAAGTTCGGTCAGTCGAAGTAAGGCATAATCAGATGGAATAGGTTCAAATGAGATATCGGAATGCCAGTCTTCTTTAGCACTTTGACGATTTTTGGCTTCAAAATTTCGATCATATATCTTTTTGGCTTGGGCAGATGATATCACACTTATTTCATCATCTTTCCCGCCGTGCTCACGACCTGAGTTGGACACAGGATGAATGTGCTAGGATAGTGTTAGAAATTTGGATATCTCGAGCGAACGATACGAGGTTTACTTACTAGCTTAGAGGTTGAAGGCTTGCCGGAAAGCTCACCGAGACGTTGGACAAGTTCTTTTTGAAGGTCATTCGTTATATCGTCTTGCTTACGGAAGAACACAACGCACCGTTGAGAGACTAAATGATAGGTAAGGAGTTGATATTAATAATCACAACGTATGAAGTTGACTTACTTGTAATAGCCAAGTCTCGAAGCAAGTCATCTGAGTTGGGGGCATGAATCCATTCTGCGAGATTTACTCCAACATATTCACGACCGATGATTGGAGTGACGTCGAAACTTTCAAATTGATCCAGAGCGCCACTTAGTTTCAATGGCACTCGGTGTTGTTCTTGAGGCGCGACACTGGGGGCCACTACAGAAGGTAAAAGCTTCTCAATGTCTGGTAGTTCCTGAGATTTTGCGCCATCGTTATTAATTTTATCTGATGATTGAGGTGCGATCTTTTCGCGAATATTCTGAGTGGTTTCAGAGATAGCTTCGATCACTGAAGGGGCCATTTTAGTTTGAGAATTTGGAGACGTGATAGGTGCACTAGCTTGAATGAATCGAACGATCGATAAATTGTGCAAAATTAATGGATTTATAGGAGCAAACTCTTACTGATATATGCAAATCTCTCGACTACCAATCTGATTCCTGGGCTACATATGCGATGGCGACAAAGCTTTGGATATTGACATCATATCCTGAGACTATAGGTTTAATATCATACCAGTGCATTCTTTAGATTACCATGATCCCAAATTCCTGATTTAGACTCAGCATAGAACCCGATACGCTCGTGACACTAATCACAACGGAAAGCCTATCGTAGAACGAGCATATGAATATTGGATCAATGTTTCATCATATACTGGTCGCTTGATTGGAAGATAAGATGATGGCAAGAAAATTGCCAAACAAAAAAGGCACCTACCTAGCAAATCATACCATGATTTCGCGATGCATGGGGAATGATGACAATACCCTAGACTGTTGCGTGCGAGCGGGGTGCAAGAACTCATGTGAGCCACTCGAGCATTTCTCAAGAATTTATACCAGCACTTCAAATATCCTGTATATAGTACTAGTCCCTTACCATCAGAGACCCGAATATCGTTGAAAGACAAAAAAGACGCTCAACGCGATACAACTGTCGAGAACGGGCAAACGCGTGAACTATATTTTTGGTTTGGATCACGTGTGCACGTGCGCTTCCCATCCCCTCTTTCTTCGATATCGACACAGATTCTGCAGTTGTACTTTCCAAAGTTATCTTCGTCAATTTCCTATGCGTATTCTGTGTCTTAATCATCATTAGGGAGCTTGCTCCTGCTATCGTTATTATGCTATTGCAGGGTTCCAAGTTGATGATAAGAGATATCGATCAATTACAAATGTGACCATTGCAGCCGTGGCCAAGTCGCGATTTTTTGGAATATTGTACGTCTTCTTTCACATTTCATGTTTGGGGAGGTAATATCTAGTGATTGGAGTTATCTTTTGTCTCATAGAGCTTCCTCCATGTATCAAATTTATCTGTTTCATATTCCACGAAAGTTTTGTCTCTCTATCGCATGGTTTTAGAAATAACTGTCTTTTGAACAGTAATGAAAGGTAGTTCAGATCATTCCGATGATCTTATCTTGCCCATCAATTACCTGGCCAAAGCTTTGCATTTGAATCGAAATGGGCGCAATAGTGCATATAGTCGCTCTCCGCTGCAATACAATGTTGCGGAAAAAGCGACCAGACTTCCGATAACTTTAGTTCTCCATTTTTGAAGTGTTCTAACCACAAAATCTCGCTAACGAGTGGTTGCGGTATTGGTGGACTTCGTCAGGAGTGATATTGGACGGCATATGTAACAGCCATATTCGTGCTATCAGTTCCAACAAAGCAACCGTGTTTAATTGAGTTTTGATTTGTTCATTGCCATCAACAACGCAAATATTGGTATTCGCAAGCGCTTCCATAAACTCTTTGCCCCTTCATTCGAAGTCCTGGAAAATTCGAACCTCAATTCTAGCTGAGAGAACGCACTACCTCGGTCGTCACTATGTCTTCTTCTCAATTACCAACCAGAGCACAAAACATAAGAGGCCACGGTTATGTTCGTGACCCAAAACATTATGACACTGTTCAATGTACTCTCAGTCAGTTCATGTACTACACAACTTTTGCAAAACTATCCTTCCGAGCTGCAATCTCAAAATTGGCGAAGCGCAACAGGAATGTGCCAATTCTTGGCATTGAACATTACGAAAAACATTCGTCGTAGCGCCAAAGTGGATATGCTGACATTCTCGCCAACGATCAAATGCTGACCGCGTTTGTCAACAGTTGGATTTGTAATGCTCACTGAATTGCGCCTCATAGCAGCAGCATCATACAAAAGCCTAGGTACCAATTTACGTCAAAATCACATATTTGTGTCAAGACTTAGTCTCCTTTCTCAGTATAAAAAGTGTCTATTGCTGATCCCCAAAAAGGATTATCCATCCATAGCAATCAAGATGATCACAACAGAAATCGAAATCAATGCCTCACCAGAGACTGTCCGAAGAGTGGTAAGTGGTGTGACCCCTGCTACAGATAAATATGATCTTTAATTCTCAGGAATCCAGCTCCTCGATTTTTCTAATATCAGTAAATGGCATACCGGATTTGTGAAGAGTATTACACCTTTAGACACCAGTAATCCTCTTGCCGTCGGCAAAAAACTTCACTGCGTTATGAAAGATTTCGAATTCGAGTCAATTATTACTGTAAGTACATCCGAATATCCATATTTTCTCTTCAACGAACCATTTAGAACAACAAGAACCTAGCCAAAAAAAAAACTGTATTGATATCTCGTTCTGGAATAGAAAAACTCTCCAAACAAGTTTGCATGGCAAGGACCACCTGTTATGACTGTCTCCGGTCTCCATTCTTTCCTTATTGAACCGAGTAAGAGTAACCCTGGAGGCACGATATTCACACAGACGGAAGAGTACTCTGGAGGTGTTTCGTTCTTGATGCAGCCTTGGCTCCTGGGAAAACCTATCAAAGGCCAATTTGAGGAATTTAATACGGATCTGAAGAAGAAGTGTGAGAGTCCTTGACTAGGTACTTTCTAGGGAGAGCATGGGCCTACGAAGGATGTTTAACAGGAATACTTTTTTGTTTTCCTGGCAGGCGTTGTGGATCTGGGAAGTCTGGATGCTGTAATCTATTATATTGTTGATAAACTTATACATGACTTCATGCTTTATAGAGGTAACTAGTCAGGCTTGTCAATATCTCGAGATCCTTATAAAGGTACCGAGTGACAAGTATGGATGCCAAGTATTTGCATCAAGAATCATCAATGGAAGATACCGTACAGTAAATGAAAAAGGCTTCTGATGTTTCAGTCATTTGAATTATTAATTTCATTGTTGTATTTGGAATCAAGCTATGAAATCCAGGCAATTCCCTACTAAGGAAAGCAAAATAAAGATCCTCCCAATAAATCTCCATGAACCCTAGACGTGGCCATAAGATTTGCAACTTCCTCATATCTCTATGCAATCTCGCCCGCTAGTGAATAGAAATTCAAAGCTCAACGTCCAGGCTCGCATATGCAATCTAATATGCAATGCATCTCGAATCGAATCTATCCTAGCCACACAGCCAGCCATCTAAACCATCATTCTCAAAGAATGAACTAATCTAAGCAGAAGATGCAGCAGTGTTAACCCCCCTCTCCTTACAATACTTCTCAACTTCCTTCTCCAACTGCTCCTTCTGTCTCATGACTGCCTCCATAACATCCTTGACATGCTCTTTCTCCTCGCCCATTCCCTCACCCTCGTTACCAATCTCCTTCCAGATTCTCGTCATTTCACTCAACACCGCACCGAGTTGATTGGGCAACCAAGTAACAATTGGAGAGCCACCTGTTGCAACTGGATGCGTGGTTTTCTTGAGAATGTATTCACGAGTGAAACACCAATGACGCCATCTAAAATCACGGACTTGGTCCATGCAGAGGAGATAGAGAGCAGTGGAGGTAGGAGAGGACAGGGCGAACGATTTGAGATCAACAGCCAAGGAAGCGTTCTGAATGTGTTCGAGGAATTGACGGTGGTTTCCTGGACGATAGGAACGGAAGTCCTTGAGGATTGATGTCAAAGGAGTAGTTGGCATGGGAATATTTAGGAGGTTATCCATGAGTGGGATCTGGACTTAGTTAGACAAGTGATTTTGTTGAAGATTCTTAGCAGAGGAAGAAAGGGATGGAGAATATACCATAGAATCATTAGCACCAGATTCACCACGGAAACTCAAAGGTTCCTCAGAAACACCTTCATAAATGACACCATGTGGAAACATGGATTGGCTGGTAATACCGAAAATGAATGTTCTAAAAGAGGTGTAATCACCAGGCTTCGATTTCTGCCACATGCCTCATGACGTGTCAATTTCAGTCGTCTAAGATTTAAAAATGCAAAAGGGGAGGAATAGAAGTAAGAAACATACCATCCATAACAGCGTTGACTTTAGTCATAGCGCCCAAAACCTTTCTCATACCTCCCTCAAATGAATCTCGATCATGTTTCTCAACAGCTTCCAAAGAACTGACAACACCATCAACCAATGGTCCAGAGTTAGATACCATGTCTACATGGACGAGGACAAAGCCAGCTTCACTGGAAGTATGATCGAGACCATGTTCGAAGGCACGGATGAGGCGGAAGTTATCGTATGTGTAGCCTTTAGCTGGATCCTCAAGACGATAGTTGTAAAGAGCATAAGAGCCAGCATACTCCATGAATGGTTTGAAACCAGCACTATGGATGGATGAGATTAGTATTTGATGAGACAAGGTTGGAAGATGGATAGTTGTAAGTGAAGTCAAGGTGATGGTGATGGGTGATTATGAAGAGTGAAACAAGAGTGAGAAATATACATACAGTTCAGCACACCTACTAATAGGCAAACTAATAACCCTAGGTAAAGTCTGTCTTCCCAATCCATACTCTTCACCTTTAAGAAATCTCTCATGACAAGGTTCCAAAAGATACGCACTAGCTAAGAAGCTATAGTCGCGATAAAGAGCATTCATAAGAGGTAAGTTATCTTGATACTTATTGATAGCATCAGTAAGATCTGGGAGCTCGTTGAGAACTGTCTCTCCAAGGGTGAAAGTAGCTAGAAGACCTGGCTTGCCATCGAGAGTCTTGATAGGCATGCGTTGAAGGATAGATTCTAGAGCATCGAATTCGGAGGGAAGAGCAATGATAGGTTCAGTACGTGGAAGGAAACCTCTGGTTGTTGATACCATGAAAGCTGGCAATGAGTTGTCTTCTGGCTTGGTATCCCTGAGGACCTCGAAGTGTGGGAGAGGGGTGGGAGTAATTGAACCCATGATGAAAATGAGGTTGAAAAATGAGTAAAAGGCTTGTGTTGAAGTGGGAATGGGTGTAAATTGGTAGAAAAAGGCGGTTTGGAAGTTCTTGAAGTTTTGTAGAAGTTGTGTTGTTAAACGACAAAGAGAAGTTTCAGCAAAAAGTGCGAAATTTCTGTCCTTTTTATCTTGTTCTTCGTGGCCGGAAGGCATTCCGGCCACAGCAAGGACATGACCTCTCGCTCCTGCTAAATGGGTATTCGCAGTGGATTCAAGATAAGAGATCAATGATGAGTAGTAGAAAGTATTCAATTGAATATCGCCATTGTCAAAAGGATGTTAAAGAGTAATATATAAGATTTTGAATCATTGACAGAAATCAAAGGGGGAAATGAGGATATACCCGACCACGTGTTTGTGCATCTTTAGATTCACCCCAAAATTGTCTGATTTATGCTTTCATGGAACTGTCCATGAAAGCATTAATATGTTCAGTATGAACTTCCATATGAACTTTCATACAACATCCATGCTTTGATCATAATAGTTTGTTCTGACATCAAGAAGTATTAACATTGGTGATGGTCTTTCATTTCTTTGTACCACCACCAAATACCTTCGTTGATAACCCCTTTATTATGATTGGTGAATTGGCCGGAAAATCGACCGCGGTGGAGAGTCAGCTAACGATGATTTTATGAGATAACATTAACTAAATGATTGGTCAAATATTCTCATGATAAAGCTAGATGTCTCACGAAATTAAGCCGGAACTTTGATAGCAAGAAGGGTCATGTGACTATCACATGCAATCATAAGTGGGGTGATTTGGAGTTTGGTTATCGTTTTCTAGTTCAACTCTCTTTGATCTGGAGGCTCAAGTTTATTAGTATGTGAGTATTGAAAGCTTTGGAGCAAGAACAAATAGAGCAAATAAAGACACAGTAGATGGCTTCGTAGGGAATTTCACAAATCACATTCAAGAAGGGTTTCTTCGAAGTCATGCTGCACTGACGACGACGTGTGGTTGCTTCAAATCGGCTACTATCGGCGAGGAGTACCTATTTTGATGGGCATTTCCCGTGACTTTTGGGTATTTTCCTCCAACACTGCTGCAACAAGATATCAAGGAAGTCCTTGGCATTTACAAAGCCAAGTGCTCATGAATCATAGTTCGCACCGCTTATGCTATCCGAAAATACGCTAATGGTTTCCTCACAATTATCGTCTCGAGTCCAAATAGAATGCTTTCCTTTTGAAGTTATGAAGTAAAAAAAGTTCCTCGTGGAAAGCTACCAAATTCTCGAGTTGCTAGTGCTCCATGCGCTTGCCATTATTTGCTATTGAATATGTGTGGAAGCTTGAAGTTGACATCCATATTCGAAAAATAAATAAATGAAAGATAGTGCTCCTGTACATTTTTGTATGTTCGTGATGGGAAGTCGCCATCGAGCTATCGATTCTGCAATCATGTCAAGTAATGGTTGAGGACAAGGTGATGATGATACATGAATCCAAAGTCTTGGGTGTGTCTGGTCGTTCTTTCCCATAGAGCTGTGAAGCACATCTCCTCCCCAGCTGCATTGTGTTATTTATTTTCCTACTCTCACTTGATTTCTTTTCACTCCACGTTTACGAAAATTCGAAAGCGACGCCATGTTCTCTCTTGTGGTAGCCTATAGTCTCTTCAGCTACGCAGTGGCTACAAATGCCTACACAAAATTTGATACGACTTGTGCAATTCCAGCAAAATCAACTAATTATGTTTCACCACCCAACAGTCGAGGAACTCTCAATATTCTTTGGACATGTCTATTCACAATCATCATCTGTACATGGGCAATTCAGAATCTCAACGTACCCCAGCAGCGAGCCAGACGAGATTCTGGTCTGAAAGATGGTATAAGATGGAGAATAGAACATTTCTTGACTATTCTTAAATGGATGATAGCCACTATCCTTGCTCCAGAGATCCTACTTGCCAAAGCTTGGAGTGATCTTGATGTCGCACGGAAACAGCTCGAAAAGTTTAAAGCTTGGGCTGCTGATGATGATGTCGAGTGGACATTAACCCATACTTTGTTCGCAAACATGGGTGGTTTTGTAATTCAAAGTTGTCCACCATCAAGTGAAAATAACAATATCGAAGCTAAGCCCAGCGTTGCCCTTGACATTCTCGCCGGTCAGACACCACACCCATCTTCGATTGAGGTTTCTACTCCATTAATGGAATCATCTACTGGATGCGTATCTCCGGATGCCAATGACGCCTCAATCTTAGTTAACGTTTCGGATCCAGGTGCTACAACTGATACCCTTATAAACTATCCCAATCCGTACCATCTGACCGCTCAGCAAATCCTCTCACTTCGACGATGCGAGCATATTCGACTTCCCAACATCACACTCGACGAAATCGACGACAAAAGCAAAAACGACACTCTTGTTCAAATGATCGCAACCACCCAATTCCTCTGGATCATCGCCCAGATCATCGTGCGAGCAATCAACGGCTTAGCAGTCGCACAACTCGAGCTCGCCGTCATCGCCTTCTCTACCTGCGCATTTCTGATCTACATCCTCAACTGGAGCAAACCCAAAGGCGTTTCAATCCCCTTCACAATTCTATCCTACGAAGGACCCATCCCCACTTCCCTCCTCGATTTCATGAACAAAGATCTCGATCGTTCATCCATGCTTAACATAATCCTCAACAACCCCTCTGCATTCCTC